ATCAAGAGCGTGATCACTCAGCCGATTCTTATAAATGAATCCGGAGAGTCAATGATGTTTCTCTAAATAGACTAGCGTTGGAGGTGTAAATGAGCTCTCATTAATTTTGATTTTATTCCTTTGCTACCACACTCTTAACACGCATAAACTTTCACGTGCAAATAAGCAAGTTAGGTCCAAAGTCATGGAAATGGCAAAAGGCACGTGTTTCTCTCTTCTACATTTCCCTCTTCACATTAGCTTAGGATAACATCATAAGAATATGGTATTATTGTGTTGGATTTTGGAATTGGAGTAATAATTGTTGGGGGCATTCATATTTCACAGTCAAATGTGAAATTCTTGTGCTCCTTCCTCTAAATGATTAGGTACAGTTGACTTCTCTCAATTTCATTGGTGGCGAACTGCTCATGTCCCTGTGATCCGAAACATTTCATCGGACCATTCAATCGGTAAAAGTGACGGGCGATATATACAAAAGGTAGTCGCTTTTAGAGCTATTTGGGAATCTCCAGTCACTTATACTCTCCTTGACAAGTGTGGCATCTCGAGCCAATTGCGCTCCCTCGGCAACACTTTCTTTAACCTACTAGGCTTCTCCCGATCTCGGCATACCAATGGAGGTTCCTCTCCTTGTTGGAAAAGCGTCATTCAAGTACAGAGATAAACACTTATGATTTGGGAATATGGGTCAGTGACCCATTACCCATGAAGAAAGTTCCGCATCCAATTGAACAAGTAGGCACTCGTGGTTCATCCGAACAATCAAATGAAAATGTTCACTGATTTGGTCCATACCTACACATGCACGGGTTTATCCTGCCCCAAACCTCATTTGAGTAGTAGGTCATAATATCGTATTCAAGAAAAAGGGGAAACTCGAACCTACTCGATTTCCAAATCTCGGCACATATCTCAAAATCAATCTGAACCCTACGCGAATAACGAAACATGGAATCTGATTTGTTTCTAATTAGGGTTTGGTTCTGACCTCCCAAAAAAAAAATCAGGGTTTGATCTGGTCGAGAATCGGATTGAAGACCGATGTTTTGCTTGGAGATCCAATGGACAAGGATACCTCGTCTGGGCTATGCCGAAATCGGGCCTTGATTCATCGCAAGATTTGGGCTCGGCCCAAGATAGTTGAGCTAAGCCCTGGCCCTTCAGGGGGTGATATTGTGGGCTTCGTCATGGCTGTCAGCATCTATATAAATCCAGAACCCTAACTACAGTCTCCCCAGCGCCGGCCGTCGACGCAAAAGCTTCGTCGTCTGGTCCGTGCGTTTCTCCTTCATTCTCATCGTTTACTCCTTTTTCGTCCCCAAAATTCACTGGATCTTCCGGTGGATTTACTCTAAGGATCGCGGAAATCTGGAGATCCTTTCATCTTTCTTTCCTTCTTCTTTTGCCATTTTCGTTTTGGGTGGTTCCGGACTCGATGACGAGAGAGATTTCGGCATGAGCGATCCGCAACAAATTATGCGCACCGTGTCGAATCCCGACATGGGTTGTGGGTCGCCATGAGGAATGTGCCAAAATGCTAATCTGAGAGTTCCTGCTCCTTGCTGTTGTTGTTCTTCTTCTTCTTCGTTCTCTTGTGTGTTTCGTTGTTTGTCGCCGAAATTGGAACGTCTGCGATTCGGTTGCTGTCGTCTCGCAGAAGATGCTTCCATTCAAACAGCGAACGCTTGGCTCGGTTCTGGAGACTTTTGGTGACATCGGATCCCGGACGCCGGCACCGACTTGTACTCGGGTCTTGAGATGTTTGACGAATTATCAGTATACCTCCAAGAGAAATGAATTGATTCGATTACTTAGGTATTCAAAAGTCCGCCGCGCATCGAGGGTCCTGGTCCTTAGATATGGAGGCGGAGGTGCCGTTGCGGCTCTTCATGGGCCAGACCCGCGGGCCTCGCCGGCGAATAGCGAAATCTCCGCCTGAGATTACGACGGTCGATCGTTCGGCTTTAGATTTCCGACGTGATTATTGCGTGAGTTGTATGTGGGTTGAACTTATCTGGTAGCATCCGACACGACACGAGCACGACCGGTGAACATAAATGTGACACTCTTACAGGAGATGCGTTAGTAGCTTCGCCGCTAGCATGTTGTCGGACCCGGGTTTATTCCGGGACCAAGAGCCCGATTACAAGATAGATACAAGATGGCGTTTCAAAGAGCGATCTGAGGGAAGATGGTTGTGGACATTTGTGTGAGAATAGAGGATGAAAGGGAGTGGTAGTTTTAACGGTTATATGCCTTTGATGCAAGGGAAATATCTGCTTTTTTTTTTTTTCACGTGCTAGAATAAACTTTACATTTCGGACAAAACTTTACGAATAGTATCTACATTGGTACCATAAATTAAAGAAGACTATTAAGATGATATTTTTAAATGATAAGTGCAGTGAAAATCCTAAAACTTATTAGATCGTGAAAGTGAAAGCCCAATTTGCAAACGCTGAGCTGCTTTGTTAGGGGGGCCTTCGGGTCCACGCCAAACTCCAGGATGCTGAGTACTCTAAAGGTAAAGAGTCTTTTGATGGATGGTATCAATTAAGACCTTGCAGTCGCTTTAAACCATTATTTCGATGACAAGGGATTGGGCATAATTAGAGGAAAGAAGAGCTGCAGCTTCGACTTCCACTCTCGAGTTCCATCTTTCTCTTCTTGTCCAAGTTTGGAACAATGAGCCGCTAGCTGATCATACAATAATACATATGGCTCTTTTATTATCTCTCCACGCATCGTCTACATTAAACTTCAACCCTTCATCTAACGGTGGAGCCAAGATTCTATCCTTTCCACTAGAGAATCGGCTTTTGTGCTGATCTTAACTATGGTTTCTTTCCTAGACTTGTTTGAAAATTCCATAAACTCTCGTAAGCGTAGCTTGACTATCTGGAAAGCATTTGGAGCTGCTTGAGCATGTAACGTGGCATTTCTATAACATCACATTCTAGTACAGAAAATTGCTGCATAAAGGGTGAAGAGTCTGTGACTCAAGCCCGTTCGCCATGCAATCTGCATTGGGTCAAAGGAAGCGGTTTGCCATCTCCTCCGGCGAAAGCAAACGAGTTGATATCCATAGGCTCTATCTCCACAAAACCTGGCCAAGGAGCAAGATGTGAATAGGTGGATTGAGTTTTCCTCCAAATTTCCACGCAATGAGCAGGAACGGTTCGAGATGTAAAGTGATCTACCCAGATTAGCTCTGCAAGGCAGGACATCAGCCGCTATCCTCCATAATATCATCCCGTGCCTCTCGCGAACTTTCAACTTTCCAAATTTTGTTCCAAATCGAGAGTGGTAGCCATTCTCTGTTACTATCATTAAGGGAGAGATCTTTCCTTGATGTCGCCCACTATCTTTTAATCTATTTTTATAATATTTGATTGGATAAAAGTGAAAACAAAAGTCCACATTTCACTACCCTGTCAAAGTAAGAATAGCCTTTTTACGGACTCCCTTTTACAGTTTCATCCGTGTTGAAGTTATCTTTCCTAAATTTACGGTTTTTTTTTTTTAACTTCAAACCTAGACATAGGGATCAGGGTATGCCATGCCACGAAGCAGCGTGCGCATGGCACAAAAGGATTTTTCTGTTTTTTCGGTCTATATATTGTCTCGAAGGATTGCCTGTCGTGTTTTCTACGTAAGATACTCGGGTGGGTCTAGAGACACATGTCGTCCGCTGACTCGTTAGTTTACAGCTTTTCTTTACAATATAAAATATTAAACCAGAAGATTCAATAGGTCTTTGACTCTTTCAAAATTTTAAATTTCAAATCTTTGTTATGTTCAAAAAATTGAACCTTCAGTATTTCACAAAAAAATTCAAATTCATGTCCCTAACCAGTCCAAATGTTTAAAAACTTATTTTCTCAATTTTTTTGCACGCAAAACATGCACTCTTCTGCTAGCTTTTGAGAACATGGATCTATAAACCGGGAAAAAGATCATCACATTTGTACATTCTCTTGTGTCCGCCCTAGGAGTATAGGTTTTTGTATCTCCCATAATTGCTCGGTGCGCAAAATAGGACAAGTGCCACACCAAATGGGGGTTAACCGAATACTCAAAAAGTACTGAACACCCATAGTAAAAAGTAACAAAAGAAAAACAACGAAAAAAACTTTGATGCAGTTGGCTGGAGTTTGGCCAATTGTCTATCGAAATATTGACATGACAAATACGTGGCTAATTCTTTAACCGCCATGTCATGTGAGCATCTTGCTGAAAAGTTAATCGGATTTCGATCAAATAACAAAAAAAGAAGAAGAAAATGGTGCTTTAGAAGTACTACTGTCTCTCAAAATTCCAAAACATTGCGCAATTGGCCAAGTTAATAAGTTTAATTGATACCGCCTATCATCGACAAAAGAGTATGGAGAGGTAAAAGAATTATAGCAATCCTTATTTGCTACCATAATAATACACATACCGTATGTCCCGAATTGACCCATGGTTATTATCCATTGACCTTCAACTTTAAAGGTCCCCAAAGTAGGGATTTCGAGAGCGGGCATTTTTCTTAATTGGTTAATCAAATTGAATTCACTAGTTTTTACAATCGCTAGGAATTACTTTTCTCTAGGTGCATAACAACAATCTGATCGAGCGACGTCATCAATTTCATTTCCCATAATTCCAGGGAATAGCATTTTGATCAAACTTGGGAGTGACTTCAACAATCATCTTCTCACTCTCTTCCAATGGCGGTAATTCGATTACAATAGCTCAAACTCGCTAAGGGCGTGCAATTGCTGCAGCCCCATTGTTATCACGGTGCCAACGTCCCTTTTTTACAAGAGGGTCGCCGGCACATGAGCTTCCTATTGTTTTGAACTCGTAGGCGAGGCTAATCACATTGATCTACCACATTCGATGGTATTGTCTAATTCATCCTTGGTTTGCACATGTCTATATCACTGTAGAGGCCACGATCTTTCTTTTTGCCCTTTTTAAAATGAAGAAGAGACTAAGAAAGTTAAAAGGGCGATGGAGAGAGAGACAAAAACACGGTCGCAAACTTCGAGGAACTCAAATTTTAGCCGTAAGTCCAAAGTCACATCACATATGTAGGAGAGAGGCTGAGCTCCGTGTCAACGGACAAGCCAACACCGAACCAGACAGACGCTCCCACCGTCGTCTGCGTGTTACCGAAGGCAACTCCATACCTGAAGGTACCCTCTCTCTCTCTCTCCACCTTCTTCGACTTCTCTTCACTCTCATCCTGTACCCAACTCAGAATTCAGTCAAGTCAAGCAAGAACTCGCGAGTGGATGTGTTTTGGGGGCTAGTTAATGCGTTCTTTCTTTTGAATTTGGAAGGGACTTGAAGCCCAGATTGCTCTGCTCTCTTGTCTGTGGATTCGGTGCTTAAAGTTCTTGCCTTTCTTTTTTATCTGCTTCCCAGTTTTTTTCCATTTTGTTGGGTGGTCATAATCAACTATCCCCTGTCAGACCAAAATTTTGAGATTTCATAGATTCAGTTGCCATACTGGGCTTTGATTCTTTCCCTCTTAACCACGTCCCATTCAGTTTTCAAGCCCCGACTGCTTTGATGGTTCAATGCAATCTAAGCTCTCGTCTCGTACGCGGAGATCTGGACCATTTCTCGATTCATCTGCCTTGCCTTGCCTTTTCTTTTTTAACCCTTTTCTTTTCTGATCTGTTTCGCTGACACATGAAGGTAAGGTACAGAAAAGGGAGAGAAAATGGTGGGGATGGTGATGACGATGAAGAAGCAACCCTCACATTCGCAGTGGTGGTGGCTGGACGGCCGCCACAACACCACCAAGCGTTCACCGTGGCTTCAGTCCACGCTATCAGGTACGAAACAGGGAAAATAAGATTCTCACACACTGGTTACTGATTTCTTGTTCTATAATCTCTCTACGAGAATTTAAAATTGCCATAAAAAACAGAGAAGGAAAATAAGATATGGCTGACATCTTGCTGTTCTTGACCGTTGGGGAGCGTGTCCCCTTTAGTTTCGTATTTGAAAATTTGAATTCTTTTTGTTTCTTTCAGTGCCTACCTTTTCTGGTGGGGTATATTGACTGGTAAGTGAAAGATCACAAGCAATGATGGTTAACTTGATGCTGAATAAGTTTTGTTGGTAGATTCATTCGCATCTAGCGCTCAAAAGGTCCATCCATGATCTGTGAAGGGAAGAACTTGGTGGTGGGACCACTCTGACTTTCTATGAAATTAATTAGATAAACAAGTGACAGAAGTGCCGGAGCCATGTGAGAGTCGCAGAGCCTTGCGCTTCCACTGGTTGATCTCCATCTATCATGTGATATTTTCAGTCGAGACATATCAATCTCCACAGCACGTGCCCTTTCGTGTTTGTGTGTGTGTGTGTGTGTGTGTGAGAGAGAGAGAGAGAGAGAGAGAGAGAGAGAGAGAGAGAGAGATCACAGTGATGGAGGGTGGTCCTCACCACAGAAAACTAATGGTGGCTGCAACTTTGTTGCTCAGTGGGCTTCAAAGAAAGGGAGATTTTCTGAATCTAGGCCCAGGATTCATACTCTTGTCTTGTGACTCTCATTTTCTTTCTGTTGATTTATGGCGACTCATTTTCGTGGAAACTTCTTGTGGCTGTTGATGTCGTGATTGTATGGAACAGGGCCGTTGCCATTGTTCCTTTTTACGTCATTCCGCTTGATATTGCCAAAGCTTGTGGATGATGCTAGTTTTGGACCCATTTAGTCTAGGCAAAAGTAAAAGTAATTATGATACTGCACAGTTTGATTTATAACGGCGGTTCTTTACTTTTTAGTGATAGATTTAATTTAATTTAAATTCTGGACACTGAGCATATCTCATATAGAAGTTGGATTTATTTCTTTGGACGTTCTGTTCTGTTCTGTTACCTGAGGCCCACAAGGCACTCTTAAAATTTGTTCCTCCTTTTTAGCAGTGGTCTCTAAAATTTCTCATCAATTAGTTGTCACTAAGATCACTCTTTATGGTCTAATGATCTGTTGGGCCCATGACAATCTAGTTAAAGACCAGATTTCCTAAATATGATGATGATACTGTTGATGGAAAGCTTCGAGGTGAATTACATTTCTCATCTGCTATTTCCATTGCTTTTTGGGGCCTACGTGTTTTTCCATTGCTATAATCTCAAAGAGACTGGCTTTTTGTTTGTGAGAGCTGATGGGTCCGTTTTTGTTGCTGTTGTTAAAAATCCGGATAAAATGTTTCTAGTAAAGTAGCGATCAGGTTCAGCCCTCAAAATGAATCTCCAATATTTCATCGAATCATTCTTTTTTAGTATTGTAGACTGGGCAGCTCTAGGAATTTTTGGAACCCAAGTAAAATCCATAACATACATGTACATCCTAGAATTTTGTGCAATATTCTTGGACAAAGCTGCGGTCCTGAACCTGCTGACAAAGATTGCTCTCTTTCCCTTCATTCAGAGCTAGATGACAAGACGGAAACAATGCTGAAGCTGATTGAGGGAGACGCGGACTCTTTCGCACAGCGAGCGGAGATGTACTACAAGAAGAGGCCCGAGCTGATGAGCATGGTGGAAGATTTCTACCGCGCGCACCGCCTTTTGGCTGAGCGGTACGACCAGCTCAAGTCTGAGGCGGGGACTCGCCTCCTGACAACTGTTGGGTCACCATTTTCCTGTAACAAGTATCGCCATGAGAAGTCGATGTCGGCGATGGACCAAAACTACGACAGCTACTCCGAGTCCTTTGAGCACGGGGAGACCACCGAATCCGAAGTCGAGGATCTTGAGGAGGAGGAAGAAGTAACCGGACACAGGCGCCAGGAAACTGAAAGCACGGGAGACAGGATCGAACATAAGCCCTGCCAGAAGAATGAAACCGTGGTTTCTCACGAAAAGGATGACGCCCAGGTGCACGAAGAGGCGAAAGAAGAGGCAGGATCGTGCTGGTTCAGCGAGGACGAAGTGAAGAAGCTGAAGGAAGAAATAGAGAGGCTCAAGGAAGAGAACAGTATGCAGAAGGAGAAGCTGGTGCAGAAGGATGAAGAGAAGAGGGAGGTGATAAGGCAGCTGAGTCTGACTGTGGGAGTGTTGAAGGATGAGAATGTGAGGCTTAAGAAGCACATTGTTGCCAGAGAAGCCAAGAAGTTTAATCTCTTTGAGTTTGACAAATTTAAGGGTGGATTTCTGGCGAAGCTGTTCAATGGGTCTTCAAAGTCCCCACCCACAGTTGTGGCTCTGTAGATGGGCTTGACTTGTAACATTATTTAGTGTACTAAGCAGTAGAGGACCATGTGCTCTAAAATCAAGACTTAAAAAGCATAGTTAGGGCCATAGTTAAGAAGTCGGTTTCTTTTCTCAATCATCAGGTTTACTTTGATAGGATCAGGTTGTAATATCAATGTATTCTTTTACAGCTATAGCTTAAATGATATGGGACATGATTAGGCCAGCTTATTAAATTGTTAAGCCGCATGTGCTGTTGCAGATAAAATCACTAATCAATCCCAAGCAAGATTGTCCTTTCCTCTTTCCAGCAACAGTTCCTCTTCTGAACTACCTAATCCCACTATTACTTTCTCTCACTGAAAAAAAGGCCCTCTTTTAATTAATTATCTTTCCCAATGACTAGTCAATTGGATTAAAATAGCCCGTGATTTCGTATGATGTGAATTTCTTGATGTTTAAGTGAGAGAGGACTAATGATACTAACAGTTAAAGCGACAAGGCAAAGGAACCATCTTTTTAAAAGGTGGCTAGGCAAAATACACACCACTTCACCAGAATTCAGAGTCTGCCAGAGAACAGGGTTAGAATCAAAGTGAATTTCCTACAGTGAAGTGACGGTGGCGATGCTCAAAACATCTCAATACCAACAAAGAAAGATGAACAAGAAGCACATGCCAAGAAACCCCCAACCACTCCCAAAAGGGCCTGCATGGGGCTCACTAGCTCTTTGTCTCTCTTTTTTTTCACCCTCTTCCCAATTAGAAAAGAGCACAAAAAGAACAGTTAACTAAAGAATAGCAATTTTTAGCCCAAAAAAAAAAAAACTAAAGAATAGCAATTATTTTATATAAGCAGGGATAGAATTGCTGTCCTATGACAGCATACATCTGTGCCATACACTTCATTCAGCAAGAAAAAAGAATTATGAGATAATAACAGGTACTATGAATTGTAAAAAGCGAATCTTGCATCTACAATGACGAGAGTAAAGCAAAAGCACCCACTTGGGCAGACTGCAATTTTTGCCTTACATACCAGGAAGCAACACCAAGCACAATGCCACTGACAAACAGAGGACTACCCCCGCAAACAAATTCACAACCCTTGGCGAGGCCGAGACAGGCAAGGCCCTGGATGGAGGCAACGCAGTATTGGGCCCAGGGGCTAGCATGTCGTCCGGGTTCGGCGGGCTCGGGCTGGACGGTATTATTGGCAGCGTGGACCCGGGGGCCGCCGCCTCGCTGCCGGGGGATGGAAGCAGCGGGGTGATGTCGGGCGACAATGCTGGGGAGGGAGAGAGAGGGGAGGATGGGAGGAGTGATGGGGCAGCTGAGATGGTGGTGGAGGGGGAGGACTGAGGGGCAACACTGGGCAGTGTTGCTGGTGCTGCTGAGATGGTGGAGATGGGTAGCTTCTGGGGCGAGGCAGAGGTGGCCAGTGAAGTGCAGGACAGTGAGAGCACGAGCATTGCCAAGAGTGACCCAAGAGGAGCCATTGAACGATGAAGTAATTGAAGGTCTCTTCTTAGGAAACTCTTATGAATGTATGAGCCACAGAAAGAGAGCGAGAGTGAGAGAGAGAGAGAGAGAGATGATGTGGGAATTATGAGGAGAATGTGATGAGGTTATGATTGAGCATCATTATAGGTGGAAAGAGAGAGAGAGAGAGAGATGGATGGATCACGGAGAGGACAGAGGGTTATTGGGATCCGTTTGTGATGACACACAGCTCTGCAAATGCGACACTTTCACACTAGATGACAAAGTGGATGTGGCTTTTTTCCCTCCCGGAGCACATGAACGTGTGAGGTGTCTTTCAACCTTTTCTTCCAGAGTTATAAATACTGAAATACTCCTCATGAAGACCGATGTTTTCTTCCCCTCGTGAAATTCAATTGGATTTGCTTTGCTCCTCTAAACTATATGACAAAATTATTAATAAGGCCAGTACACAGTACATGCAGCTGATCCCATCAGCTCCGCCCAATTGCATTATGTCCAGAAAAGAACAGTGAACCAGAGCAGCTAATATGACTTCTGATCCATCTTAAGTAGGCCCAGAGAAGTGCAAAGAAGATGCGAGCACAACTGGCAAGTCGGCAACCTGGTCTTCAGTATCTGCATGGATGGAAACCTCCACCTCAATCATGAAAAAAGTTTTCGGCTTTTTCTTCTTTTTTTATTGTCTGATTTTTGGTTGCTTTTCCTTTTGACAGATACGAGATTTTTCAGTTTGATTGAAGCAAATCTGATAATATGCATGGTTTTGTGATGAGTTCCTTTGAATTTTGCCGGAGAAAGTTTATAAACTCAGTTTATTAAGTGATGTGACAGATTATGATGCTCAATTGAGAAATTGGTTCAAGGTGAATTCATATTAATAGTAGTTGCTATTGTTAGTGCGAGTTAGTTTGAGACTCCGCTTGTATCTTGGGAACCCTAATTTGAGAGAAGCGTCTTCATCACGCTCATATACATCAAACCGGGCTCGAACGTGATCAACTCAAAACTCGTACGTCCAAAGCTTCTCTCAATGTGTCATGCGATTAATGAACTAAGAACATTATAGAAGATGTAGAGATTAAGTCAATCTTTTAATAATGAAATAAGGTTTCGAGTGCATTTGGTTCAGCATTTGGGGAAAAGCAAAAGCCTTTAGCCTAAAGGGGTTTTATGAAATAAAAATACTATTTTAAACTGTAATTGAAAAGTATTTTGAAAAGCAACTTTGGAAGAAATATTGTTTGGTAAACATATATTTGGGAAAATCTTTTGATGTGACCAATTTAAGTTTTTTTTTAAAATTTGTTTAAAAGTGAAAGAAAACAATGACTTTAACTTTTATATTTTCGTATTGACTGCAATATGCAAGAGACATATTAACAAATTTATAAATAAAAATATCACATCAAAGTGAATCTTCTCAATTAAAAAGTGAGTAATTTCATTACAATAACATGATCACATATGTCCCGATAAAATAAATACGTTGCGTTAAATATTACAAATCTCGTCAACTAATAATTCTTTCGTCACGTAAACGTGCCATGTTAGAGGATGCATTATCATTTGAAGTATTCGCTCCCTCATTTACAGCATCATTGTTAACTGAATATCTTACTAGGCACGTGAAATTATGAGAAACCGAAATTTTTTTTTTAGTCGAAAGAAATTGAAAGTTTGAAAGGCCAAAAAAAGGACAAAAAAAAAAATGCAAAAGTGCCCTAGACTGCTGCTTGTACTTTTAGGCCCTGTCCTTTCCTTTTTAGCTCCTTTTGATACAAAATGTTCTTCCTTTTTCCTCCCTAGGCTCTCCCAATAATTGAAAAAAGTTCTGTTTTTTAAGTTTCCATATCATGTTCTTTTTGTGGGCCATATCGTTCTCTTTCATTGCTTCCTCTTGGGCCTAGAATTGGACGTGAACCACAGGCCCATCAGCTCGAAAGTGTCGTCAGCTCCCTCCTTCCATCAAATTCACAGGAAATTACACATGAAGAGAAGCCTTGGGGTTATCATGCCATGCCCTTTCTTCTTTTCTTGCTCTTAACAAATCTTGACTCGGCCTAAGCCCGAGTTTTTAATTTGAAATCGAACCAGCCCGAACCCGAGTTTTAAAATTCAATCCCTTTGAGTCACATAGATTTTGACTCAGGTAATATTGTATGGTCGGACGATACTGACTCACACAAATTGTATCAATTGATCATTAATCGAGCGTGACTTAATTTACTGGCCAATTACAAACGCAATTACAAATAAAAGCATCTTAATCAACTCTTGTCATTGAACTAAACACAACCCCTATATATATATTATATATAGGTATATATAGTTTTTCTGTATATACCCTAAAGAAAATCATCAATATACTTTCTTCATATATGAATATTACCCGTGCCTGACCCGGGTAATTTTCCATAGTTTTTTTTTGGTAAGGAAGGGTAATTTTCCATAGTTATGTAAGCTTACAACATAAAAAAGGGCCTTTTTGAGATATGATGACGGCTTTGGGTGTAGTCATGCGATATTCTCTTACAAGTCACTTCATCTTTGTTCAATATATATATAGTATAAGGATGATGACGTGGCAGCATTAGCGTATTGAGGGTATATTCATTTAACTTTCCACTGGATCTGCAAGTTGCAACTATGGGTACTTTCTCTTATTTTATTGGTAGTTGTAATTATGGATACTCACGTTAGGGCTGATAGCCAATATGAAAGTTGAAAAAAAAAGAAATATAAAAATGACACGAATGGTCATTAAACTTTGGCCCAATGTGTAATGACATTCCTACATTTTTTATTTATTCGATGTAGTCCCTAAATTATTGGTAAAAGTCCATTTAATCCCTAAACTAAGTGAAAATGATGTAAACGAAAGGACTATATTGAACATTTACCCATAATTTAGGGACCATATTGAACAAACTAAATTTCTAAGGACGACATTGTGCGTTGGGTCAAAGTTTAGGGATCACATTGTACTAATTAATAGTTTAAGGATGACATTGTATATTTGATCAAAGTTCAGGTACTATTTGCATTATTATCCCAAAAGAAATAAAATCAAGTATTTGAGTCCCTTCACGTGATTTAGGGTGTGTTTGTTTCACAAAAAATTCGAGATTTGGAAAACATTTTTCCAAAAATGATCACTTGTATCGCTTACAAAAATGAATGAATGAAAAATACTTTCATCATCTACAAAAAATAGTTAGCATAAATTGTTATCGATAGTGAACATATTTTCCGTTGACTAATTTTTCTAAGCGGTATAATCAATCATTTTTCCAAAAATGTTTTCGAGATCTTGAGTTTTCCGTGAAACAGACGCACCCTTATTGCGAAAATGGATTGAAATCTCTTGCTTTCCTTTATGAATCATCGACTAGGAACAAGTCCTAGAGTACAAGTGATGTTAGTTCAAGGGTTAGGGCCCTTAGGGGGACAAAGGTGGAGTGCATGTGGAGACCCAATTTACTAGCCAGTTAATAAACATTACATCATTTCCAACATAATTTCATGTGGGCGAGTCTGAGTCTAAGAAAGAATATGCTTGCCTAGGTTCGCCCCCTTAATGCGTAAATTTCGAATATAATTTAACATCTACTCGAGAAGGATGTCTATTGACATTCCAAATTTCATTTTAGGTGACTCAAAGAATCAGGTGGTCGTTCGCCTAATTCATCATAAATTATATTTTATCGTTCTTCTTAAAAAGAATAAAGATAAATTTGTTAATTGAACTGTGGCGTGACGTTTCCTAGATAATTAGATAGGTGATCTCTCGAAGGAAGCATCCGAAAAATAATGCGATAGGGCATCATCGTACTCCTTCAACCGACGAAGATTATTGATAGATAGGAAGAGGAAAAAGGAAAGCAGACGTGACAGACGCTATGATAACAACATACTCTTAGGTAACAGCCACTCAGAAACCGACACACGGCACGTTCATCCGTTATCTTTCAGCTGGTATGTTGGATTTTCTCCATCACACTTATGCATTGCATAGGAATGAAAGTGTTTGTCTTGTTGCACCGCGCATAGAGAATAGTTAAAAACTTCTTGCATTCGGATTGCTTAGCTATGTGTGTGTGTGTGTGTGTTTTTTTTTTCTTAACTCGGGTCGGAACCCGTCCGGTAGAATTGAAAAGTAAGTGCTGAAAATTTAAGCATTGAATTTGAATCGACGGTGATCTTTAGTGCTAAAGATAAATAGAAATAAGTCATTTGGTGATAACTGAAAATTTGTAAATAACATTTATGAATTTCTTACCAAGGATGGAACGGTGGACCAATACATTTGGCAAGGTTTTAGTTGTCGCCAATTTACCTTTGCAATTGAATGAATCAAGTAACCCCGACTTACCACATTAAGTAGATTGTTACTTCATTGAGTCCGTCAAGGCAAACATCAACTAAAGTTATCAAACAAGTTCAATCTCAAGTTTTCATCGCTTTTAATTGGTTCACCAAACGGGCCCGGTTCACGAAGATCGTGAAAATGTTGCGTACATACCTCAGGCCGTCCTTATTTTTCTTTTCTTGGAGACCGTACCGAACCGAGGCCTGTATAATTGAGATGGATCTTTTTACCCCAAAAAAAAAAAACCTTAGAAATATATGCAACTGTCAATAAAATCATCACACAGAAAAAGTAAAAACGAAAAGGAAGAGATCCTTCCGTGTGGAAAGGTTTTCTCCCATATCCCGATCCGATCCAAACCCAACCTAAACAACCATCCAGGGAAATCATCATACGGACCCGCCACGTGTTTATATAAAGTCTCTTCCCCAACGAACACGATCCTCATTCAACGAGGTTGCTCCTCTAGACCACAACACACGACCTTTACTCCAAAGGGCGTGTACAAAGTTGGCTCTCAAGGACACATTGACGACACAACACGTTAATAAGCGAAGTTCTTGTTGGGCACGGCGTCAACCTCCGACATTCAATGATGAAGGGGCCAAGTCAACAAAACGAAAGATCTGACCACAAAAAAAGAAAAAAGAAAGAGACCGGTACTGGGTCCCCCCACAACGAAAGATAAATGGAAGAAAACAAACCACCAACACAAGCGAAAAGATGAGAGGGACATCGTTCGAGATGGTCCGTCTCGTTGTCCGCACGCCAATTGCTTTTGCGATTGTGGTGCCGAATGTTTCGACAGCGTCGGCGAGGTAACTAAATAAGAAAAAAAAATTTGATTTTGACCTAACGCTACGAAAAATCTCAAATTGACGTATTTATAATAAATTTATCATAAATTAATTTTTTGATAATAAAGAATTTCAAATTAATACACCTGTGACAATATTACCATCCTTTAGCTTTCGTTAAATTTTACCGTTAAATTTCTGAATTAAATGATACGTGACAGGTGACGGGTGTATCAGTTTGTGGTTTTAAAGTGTACTAGTATATGATTTTTTGCGATATTAATCCAATTTAATGGAGGGTAAATTTGTCGCAAGTGTAGCATTTTGGGGTTTTTGGCGATCAAAAAATTAGTTTAGTATAAAATTGTCACCGGTGTACCAATTTGGAGTTTTTGTGGTAAAAAAAACTAGGTAAATTTATCACAAGTGTACCAGTTTGAGATTTTTTGTGGTAATAACTATTTAATTTTTAGCGAACTGAATTCTGATATGTATAATCACTACTCAATTTTTTTTTTTAATTACGTACGTTCAATTAGTGCTCTTGAATGCTCGTTAACGTGATCTATTATAAGTGACCGGTCGGAGTTTCTGTTGTCCATGCATGTTATGAATTCGGTCAAAGATTGGCATCGTTGCATGCCGCGACGGATCGGCTTAACAGTAACGACTAGATTCGCAATGACTCGAGCAGATTTGCTTCGGACCCCTATGTCTTGACAAATTAGCAAGTAATCTTGTGACTCTTTGATCTAAAGGAAGGAAGATTAATGAAAAAGATGGTACTTAATTTCCGCAATTAAAGCATTTATAGATGTACGATCAATCATCATAAAGTGAAGCACTTCTTGTTTATAAGGAAAGTCCTAGACGTAACCTTATAAAGTGGCAAAGAGATATCGCCATATCGTATAAGTAGCATTCCATCTCTTTTGTTTTTTTTATTATAATTAGCATAATCCTCTTAATTATGACGTCATTCTTTTAACTTTCGTTTTTTTTGGGTCGAATGCTGCTTTATATAAATATATGTTCTTCATCGATTTTTTTCTTCGTTTTTATTCGGATGCTGCTTTATAGAGCTTAAAGTGACCCCTTAAAATCACCCCGTCGAAGACGAAAGGTCACTTTCTACATGTTTGTGAATGGATCGACCTTCATTTAGTACCATATGATATAGTTGTACAGAACCGCAGACCACGGTTGTATCGATTATTCCTGCCAGCCGGCCGACGCCGAACAACCTTGCTATGGCCACGCTGCCCGTAATGGGGACCGTCCCGCCGATGGCGTGCGCGTCTTGTTTGTTTCCCATCGAGCCACTTGTGGGAGGACCGAGTGTGCTGACAATAGGAGAGTCTGGGACCAACTTCACGACCGTAGGCTCCGCTACGAGAACCATCTATTCGTGGATACTAATTAAATACGGAATTTGAGCCTCACGATATGGTCGATATTACTTACGGAAAGTTTCTTTCTTCCACTCGTACCCAAATTGAACCTTGTAGGTACACGGTGAATACACAAATACACACCGTATATACGAGACCGCCACACCGTATTATTAATCGGGCGATTACCTTGAATTTTCCAAGCGCGTGATTTCTTGTCTTGCCCGTCTCTCTCTTTGACGATAACCGTCGGATCACGGGGTCCCATTTATTCTGCACATGGATATCAATGAATTCGGTGGTCTAGATGGGTACGTGGCAAACATGCATCATACGTTTGGACAAATATCATACATGCATCAAGCGCCGGGGGACCTGGGTTTGTGTATCGGAGACTCGATCCTGGGCATGGGCACCGGGGTCGAGGGTCCAGCCTCGATGGACCCGGGGATAAGCCTTGTCCAAGCGTAAAATTTCTGGTTCAAGCGTCGATATTTAATAATATTTTAGAAAATTATTTTCAAATTATTAAAGAGAAAATCAATTTTTTTCGAATTTAAGTAAATATTTTCTGTTGATTAGAAAAATATTCTCCGTCGGCTCAATTTCCTAAGAAATCCAAATGTAGGAACATGAATAAAAATATGTTTCTCCAAACAAACGGATTCTTAAAAAATATCCAATAAGATGTCGGATCCCACTTGATTATTTTTTTCTCCATGGGGACCCACCAAGCCCATGAGAAGTAACTTTCAAAGCTCCATATGAGCCCCCTCACGAACATCACCATCGCAAAACTATCACATCCTCTCTCCATCATCTCGCCAAAGCCACAAAGACAAAAGATGATAGAACAGGAAGCCGTCGCCGCCGCCGTCGTCGTCGGAGCCGGGCCGTCGGGGCTCGCCATGTCGGCGTGCCTCAAGACCCTGTCGATCCCCCACGTCCTCCTCGAGCGAGAGGACTGCTTCGCCTCCTTATGGAAGAAATACGCCTACGACCGCCTCCACCTCCACCTCCGCAAGCGGTTCTGCGAGCTCCCCCACATGCACTTTCCCCCGGACTACCCCGAGTACGTGCCCAAGGCCCAGTTCCTCCGCTACTTGGATGACTACGCGGCCCGCTTCGGCATCGAGCCGGCCTACGGGAGGTCCGTGGAGTCGGCGGCCTACGACGAGGGGGACGGGAAGTGGCGGGTCAACGCGAGGGTCGCAGACTCCGGCGAGGTCGAGGAGTACCGGTGCCGGTTCCTGGTGGTGGCTACCGGCGAGACGAGCGACGCCTTCGTCCCGGAGGTGGAGGGAATCGAGGGCTTCGGCGGGAAAGTGATTCACTCGACCGGGTACAAGAATGGGAAGGAGTTCGAGAACAGCAGGGTTTTGGTGGTCGGGTCGGGGAATTCCGGCATGGAGATCGCGTTGGACTTGGCCAACCACGGCGCAAGAACCTCCGTCGTGGTCCGGAGCCCGGTAAAAGCTTCACTTGCTTTCTCATCATTCTTTAAAAGGAAACTGAAATTTACTTATCCCTAAGAACTCATGTCTCAAAACACTCGGTAGCTTTCTACAATTGAATTTGTCATGGGAAGAGTTACACTTAACCCGACATGAGAGCAAACATCAATGCGTATGTCGCGACCTGTGGAATACAAAAAAACTCTTCTTGATGCATTAACCCGAAGGCACCGTCGGCGTCCGTAGACAAAATCCCCCGTGCCGCGCCTCATCCCTTGCCATTGAGCGTGACTTCATCTTCCTCGTCTGTTTCGAGACGCATGACATTGTAACCTACAACGAGTGTCGGTACCCGAAATTAAGGATGCGACATCATTCACGGCTCCCATTGCTGATACTATGCACTTATCATACGCAGGTACATGTGCTGCCGAAGGGGGCGGCGAACCTGGGCCTGGTGTTGCTGAAGTATCTCTCGCTTCCCATGGTGGACTCGTTGCTGGTGTTGCTGAGCAAGCTGGTCTACGGGGACATGTCCAAGTACGGACTGAGGAGGCCGAGCGAGGGTCCTTTCCTTATGAAGGTCAAGTACGGCAAGTACCCCTTCATCGACGTCGGCACTTGCCAGAAGATCAAGTCCGGCGAGATCCAGGTAGGCGATCCGATCTCCGACTTCTGAGCTTTTAACTTTCGATCAGCATGCGAGGACGCCTTAAATTCCGTTGATTACATCGAAGTCCGGCGATGGTCGGCTATAAGTTATTCGATAGTCAATACGAATTTGTTCTGATTTCGATCGGTTATATTTTGGAATAATGTTCCGGTCAGCGAACCCATTTTTGTTTTTTTAGTGACAAAAACAGCTCATTTCGTTTATTTTATCCTGGCAGATTGGGACATGGTTAAATTAAGATTAGTATGAATCGACTCAGTGTTCTTTAAAGGTAGAAAAAATTCCACCCAGTTGACCCGCGGCAAGTTTATTTATTATCAAAAGCACAAGTGGTCAGTTGAAAGAGAAATAATATGTATCGTCGACTTTAGGTGGATCTTACGTCGGTATCATGATGGTCTTCGAAGCTATCTTAGTTTGCAAGCCAATGAGCTTTTCAGGTTGACGGAATCGAAACAATTCTACTTGCACACGCTTTTCATGGCACTAATATATGATGCGCAGTTCTAGCATACACCGTCGATATAACCATAAATTTTTCCACGAGCGGCCTTGATTACAATTGATGGTCAGCGAAAGATTTAGTGGTTAAAACCCTAAATCGACGAAGAATAAGACTGTTTATATGGACCTTAGCAGGTCCTTTATAGGCTCTATCCGAACTCTTGGGAAAAAAAAGGTATTCCCTCCTCTAGAGAAAACAAACATATAGAGGGCACATGGGGGGCTTGAGGGGGTCCGGCCGCCGGGACGTTAAACAAGGCTTGTAGAAGAGAGCGCGAAAGGGTTTTACTCTCCACCTCTCATGGCAATGATCCTTAGGGTTAAGTGGTGAGCATCCCCCACTTAGTTCTCTTTACACCTATGGCTTGTGTTATAGTTTTTATAATAAAATGTGGAAAAATTATGCAGTCAGTCCTAAACCGATTAAACGGCTGCCAATTCAGTTTTAAACTTTCCATTATTGCCATTGTAGCCTTAAACTATTGCGTGAAGTTTTAATGCACTCCTTCCGGTCAATTTTGGCTAGGCCGTCCTTCGTGGCACACCGCCACTTCAGGGATTTCTGGCCGAAATTGGTCGGAATATATATATTGGGATTTCGCGCAAAAGTTTTAGGACTCGATTGGCAAAACTGGAAAGTCTATTACAATAGGTTTACGACCAACGGGATAGTTTGTGTTTTGTCCATTTAAAATGCGGTTCGCGTGTGGACACGGATACGGATCATGGACTTTTGCGATCAAACTTTGGGCAGCTCCTGCCGGCACTGAAGAGGGTAGAAGGGAACGTGGTGGAGTTCGAAGGCGGCAAGTCTCATCCCTTTGACGCCGTCGTCTTCTGCACCGGCTTCAAGCGATCCACCCACAAGTGGCTCAAGGCACGTAACCCCATCGACGCCAAGATCGATTTCGACCTTCATTACGTAAGATTTCCTAAGTTAAATTTTTCTTGTTTTTTTTTAAATTTTGGGCAGGGAGATGATTACCTGTTGAACGAAGATGGGATTCCGAAACCAAGTTCTCCAAATCACTGGAAGGGCGAGAAGGGTTTGTACTGCGTCGGGCTGTCGAGGAGAGGATTCTATGGAGCTGCTTCGGATGCCCAGAACGTTGCCGATGATATCAAAGCCCAACTTTAGTTTCTCCTCTCTTCTTCTTCTTTCTTTCATTTTTTTTTTTGAATTTTTGAACATTGTGATATACTTACTACTATGTATTTTGGACAGCTTGGATTGAGCTCTATATCTGGGTCAATATAATACGATTAATTAGTGAAGTAAATAAGGGAGGGTTTCCTCCAAAACCTCAGGAGAAGAATTAAGGAAATTTGATGAATTAAGGAAAAATTTGGATTCTTCGTTACGTTATGGGGCTCACGGCATAAGCAAAGCCAAGCCCATGAGAGTATTATTTAAATCATTTCAAAAGCTAGAGAAGTCCGACCGGGACGGGACGCGGCGGCGCGATTAAAAGGGTGCCGGCTTTCGGCTAGGCATGGCCCATGGTCCCCCCAAAAGGTTGTGCCTGGCTCGGCCCCAAGGCCTCGGCACTTACGATTACCAAAGTAGCCTCGATAAGGATCGAAACAACCATCTAGCATACCCACTCCATTCGTAATTGACCATCATAGGCAAGGAAAAAATGAATTTCGACCCGCCCAACAAATCGGGTCAACCCAGCATAGACCCTACAATTCTCGAGCTAAGATTGGGTCGATCCTATATGATTCGACTTGGCTCGGGAGAGGAGAAGAACTAGATTTTTTTGGGGTAACCGTTATATAATTACAGAGAATAAGACAAAAATGAGAAATGAGTAATTCTATGAGGATCATCCTAGAATAAAACGGCGAGTATAAAAAGCTTAGGTTATAAATTATTAGCCATCTCTATGTAATGCCTGTCGTTGAGTCCGAGAAGCTATTATTCTGACTTTGGCTTTTACCCTACCTCTTATGATGAAAGTCGACTTGAAAAAACACAATGAAGAGCGTATAAAATCTTTTAACATATGTTGTTACTTCTCATTTTATCGGAGTTAGGATATCTTCTTAATTTTTGGACCGAAAAAAAGTAAAATTAATTTCTCTGTAGGGTTTCAAAGTACCCAAAACCACCATAAGTCCCATCCAATCGATTAGGCGCGATTAACTTTCGATTGGTTCGAGGAGCGCGCACGTCTACTTGTGTGCCGACGGAATGAAGAGAAGAAAGCGTACATCGGTCAAGACGACAGAGATTACTTATTATTGTCTCGATTCATTATATCACTCCGAATGAAGTATATACAGTAAGAAACATCGGGGTCCAAGTCGAGTCCGTCCAACGTATTACCTAAGTACATTCGACACTCGGGCAAAAACGAATTCGCATTCTTCTTCGGCGATTCCGTCCGTCCAATCATTAGCCGGCAATCTTCCCACCGTCGGAATTAGAGTACGAATGAAAAAGCACGACCGTCCAATCCGAGGACGACACCCGGAAGAAACGGACACGGCATGGAATTAGAGGGGAGATTCGAGTTGGGGAATGATGGGGAGGCGGGGGGACACGGCGGAGATGTCTAAAGTGAGATTTGGACTCAATCGAAGGATGTTTCTGGTGCAAATTTGTCAACGGACACCAAAAACGTGTTATTAACCATTTGTATAAAAAGAAGCATATACGCATCCACATTGGTCAAGAAGAGGAGGGCGAGGTACATAAGGAAATTCGTGAATTTCTAGGTTCAATTTATATTTTACTAAATGCGTTATTAAAAAAAAAAATAACATCGGTACGCTAAGCCGGAGTCAAACGGTGTTGCCATTCCAGGTGCATTGCTCTCGACTTATGGCCGACAAGAAAATGATGAACCCTTCGACATGCCCTTTGTCGTCGCGAGTAATTTCCTTGAATTTCTTTATCTTAGGGAAAAAAGAGAGAGACCCCGAACCCGATTGGAGGGTAAAAAAAAACGGACACGGGATGGGTCAGAGACCGAGCGAAGGGAGACGGTGGCGGGACGGGGCGTGCTACAATGGACCGTGCCGATGCCGTGTTAAAGAAAGGAACGGATCCCGTATCAACCGCTGCATACGGAAAAATCCGCGAATTCATATGTGTATCACGCTTCTCGTGAGATTAGTCTAATCGAATTTTACTTCTTCGTTTGGAGAGCTCACAAATTATGGGGGGATAAAAAAGGGAAGGAAGTGAGAAGAAAAGCACGGAACGGTGAATTCGAACACGCAACGCACTGCATGCAGACGGGGAGGGGGAGGGGAATGCAGGCTCAAAACCAGACATTTCTTTCGGTTGCTCCATCGGGAGTATCGCGCCCAGAGTCGAAAACATCGCCCGCCCCCCCCACCCCACCCCAAGACGAAGAAGAGCGCGAGAGAGACAGAGACAGAGAGGCATCTCTCTCTCTCTCTCCCACTCTATTTCTTCTGCAACACAACGTCCCCCCACCTCTCCTTCTCTCTCTCTCTCTCTCTCTCTCTCTCTCTCTCTCTCCGTCTCCTTGTTTCTCTCTCTAGGCGTGCGAGAGCTCACGAGCACCACCATCGCCGCTGCCGCTGCCGCCGCCTCGCACGCCATACGACACCCTGCAGCGAGGACGGTTACGCCGAGACGACGCGCTCAGAGGAGGACGACTCGTCACGCCACAGCCAGCCAGCCAGCCAGCCAGCAGCAGGTAACGTCCACTCACAGAGAGGGAGAGAGAGAGAGAGAGAGTGTGTGTGTGTGTGTGTGTGTGTGTTTCGCCAATCGCTTGACCCGCGTCGGCCTGAATTTGCTGAGCCGTTTATACTCGCCTCCCTGTCCCGTTCGCGTGCTCCCGAGCTCTTTCTTTCTTTTGTTATTTCTGCGCTCTGTTTCGCTCTGTTCTTGCAGCTAACCGAGACCATCGGCGCAGAGCTGCAGAGAGATAGGGAGAGGGAGAGATGAGCTCTTGTGTGGAGAGCGAGAACGGACGATCCAGCAACTACGACCGCTCGTCTTCCTGCAACGACATTGGAACTGGTGAGTCTCCTCCGGCTCCCTCCGCTCCATTATTGCTCCTCCGTGTCCGATTGTTCCTTAGGAAAAAACGAGAAGTTCCGGCTCCCGTGTGTTATATCTATCGTCGCGAGTTAGATGCTGTGTAAAAGAGCTTGATGATCCGGACTGTCGATGTAACTGCTACCGTTGCTACCTGCGGGGCGAACGTGACTTTAGCCTGACTTTTATTAGAACGAGAAGGGTCGGATACGTCAAATGATTCTATGGAACTTCTAGTGTTCGATCGCAACAAATTCGTTGGTCTAATTTTGGGAGACGAGAGATGTTGCTGCATTATCATGTCAAAAGAAACATTAAGTAGGAAACTTGCTGGTTAATTCGCTTTGAATTTCGGTTTTTAAGTCGATCGATCAAACGCTCGTGAGAATTGTAATCCCGGATCGCTGCTTGTTAAACAGATTTTAAGGGATGACTGTGATGTTCCCCCTGCCCTCGTCGCTTGCCACTGTTTCATTTCCAAACTCAGTAGAATTTTCTCTGCTGTGATGATACAGGGAGAGGAGATAATTCGCACGAGGAACTATGGCATGCTTGTGCAGGTCCCCTAGCTTATGTTCCTAAAGCAGGGGAAACAGTGTATTACTTCCCCCAAGGGCACATTGACCAGGTACTTCCTCCTGAATCTTTTTTTTTTTTTTTTGGTAACCCAGAGAACCCCCGCACGGCCGACAGCCGAGAGGTAAACCCTGGGGGCGACACGTGCTAGCCACCACACACGTGCACCGGTTAAGTCACCCTGCGGCGCCCGGGATTCGAACACTCAACCTTTTGCGAGAGGAAGAGTGCCCTTTCCAGCAGCGCCACCCAGGCGGGTGGTTTCCTCCTGAATCTTTTTTTTTTTTTGGTAAGGTATGGTTTCCTCCTGAATCTTTTGTCCGAAGAATATCCAAATTTTGAGTCGTGGAAATAACTGGTGGCGAGAAGGCTACAGACGATTCGCTTGACGGTCAAATTACATGCAAAATATATCTCTCACCTCCTCTTCCAATTGGAATGATCTAACAATCGAAGGATGGATTCATCACTCAAAATCTGAATACTGACCTTGCTTTTGAGACTAGCAAAATGGGCGGCAGTGTTTGTTAGCAAATGTCCAGACTAGATATGCACTAACCATTACTCACTTGGTTCAGATTGTGTACTAATTTTAGGTGAGATTCTTTTTGCTAACTCAAATACGTCGACTAAATCAATTGATTATTACAGTCGCGCACCCCATGAATCCATATTCTTAGATCACCACAAAGAGATTTTGGTCATTGTGGATTCTAGCCTTTGTAGTTGTTTCGTCAGCGTTACTTATCAAATGAAAAGCCGAGTTCAAACACGAAGTACTTCTCCAGCATGACATCAATTTGTATCCTCAGATCATCGCAACGTGATTTTCGGTCATTGTGGATTGTAGCCTTTGTCGTGGTTTCATCAGTGTTACTTAATCAAATAAAAGCCTAGTGTTTTTTTTTTTTTTGGTCGAGAAATAAAAGCCTAGTTGAAAAGCAATGTAACTATCCAGCAAACTACCTAATGGTTTCTTATGGACCAACCACCCCCGGAAGTAGGAATTGTTAGACCAGAATCAATTCAACTGTAGACATGGGACCATGTGCCCACTGGGTTGCTCTTTCTGTCAGCTTGATATCCTTCTGCTCGTAAACATCTGGACCTCTTTATCCACTTATGGGGTGCTAGAAAATATTAGTTTGGTATTCTCATTTCTCAGGATAGTTTTGTACTTTGGTATCAAACTATCCTCCTCTTTTGCTAATGTCAGCGATTGTATTGGATAAATTTGGTCTTAGGTTGAGGCTTATACAAACCACGATGGTGATATGGAAATGCCTATCTACAAATTGCCTCCAAAAATCCTCTGCAAGGTTGTTTCTATTCAGCTTAAGGTATAGTTCAATTGTAGAAGACTTGCATTGGTTAATGTCTTGATTTTTTTTTTGCACTTCGCAACTCATTTTTTCTTTGATTTTTATGGTATTAAGAGACATCTCTCTTTCTTGTAGGCTGAGATTCATACAGACGAAGTGTTTGCACAAGTTACATTGCTCCCAGAGGCAAAGGTATGTGAAACTTGATACATCCATGCTCCATCTTTCCGCTTTGAATTTCGCACGCTTCATGCAGGAGCTTACTTCAAAATTATTTTTCATACACATATAATTTACTTCCTTAAAGTTACAGAATCTTGGGTAAGTGAAAAGATGTGCATCCAGATGCTAACGCCTATCGCCATCAAATTAAATTAGTTCATCTTCGGTGCAAATCACATACTCTTTCCATTTGAAAGATTGGTGATTAATCAAAACTTTGCATTCTGCTGGCATTTTTGCAGCAAGATGAGGTCAATTCTAACTGCAAGACTCCACCAATGCCCCCAAGGGTTAATTCACGTTTCGTTGTCAAGATTCTTACTCAATCTGATACAGGCACACATGGTGGATGCTCTCTTCCTAAGCGGCCGGCAGACGAATGCCTTCCTTCTCTGGTTGTTGTCATTGCAATGTTGTTTTCTATCAGTACATAAGCTGAATGCAGTAGGACCTAGGCTAACTGTTTTGGCTTCTTTTGGCTCTTTTGGGTACTAAAAATAACAACTTGAAGTGATAATGGTACCATGGTCCCAGTTTACAGGTTTATATGATACAACTGAAAATTACAACATACAACTAGATAAAACATGTAGAGATATGCAGACCATCGAATAACAGCTACATCATAATGTCCCGACTATGGCTTAAGCGTGCTCAAGCTTATGATGTTGGTGTCGTTTGAAGGAGGGCTTTTCAGGTTATTGTCGTTTCTGGGCAAATGTTCATGTTGTGGTTGTTGTTACAGGACAAGTCGCAGCACCCTCCAGTTCAAGATCTGGTGACGAAAGACTTGCATGGAAACGAATGGTGTTTCCGCCATGTCTACCGTGGTAATACAATTGAATCAAATAACTTAGTGCAGAAGAATAATTATGAAGTACTTGCTTTGTGTGCTCTTCCATGGTTGTTGCTTTTCTATTGCAGCTATTACTGATGTATGTCATGACTCATACGGTATCCTAAATTCCTTTGATTGTAAATAGTGAAACATTCAAACATTAACCATAGCTTCATTAGATAAGTTACAATTGATTCAAAGTTCTATGTGGCATTAGAGCAAGAGATCTTGTACTCAAATCTCTCATGATGCATCCATCTAATCCTTTTTAATGCTTTAAACTTGTGCCAAATCCCCATATACCTAAGGGCGTGGGTTAGAATATTTATGTAGTAAACCATGCTTTCATTTTATAGTTTAAGTTTTTTTAATATGAGTTGGCAGCGGTCCTGCAATTTGTCAACATATTAGCAGAAATAGATGACAATTCGCTTGGACACCATGATGATATACTGGGATTTGTCATTTTAATATGCGAATGCTTTAATATGAAATGACTATGTCGAGTGACGTGTCATCTGACAATAATGCATACCTGGATGTTCTATGTGCATTTCCCATATAAGATTCATGTTAAATTCTTCTTGATACATAGATTTGAATTAGCACTCCTACTCTTAGTTTAATTCAGTGTTCGTCTCTCTAGTAATTTACCAAATACTAGACGAAGAGGGACAAACGATTCTTTTATTGTTTATCATTGGTCATCAAGGAAGTACTTAATAATAATAACTAAGCTGTTACGTCAGTTCTTTTATGGTCGTAAGCCGCAATTCTCCCTTTTCTTACGTGTCAAATCAAATCAAAATTCCTGGATTGGATGGTAAATGAACCATTTTTACAGTAAGAAGCACAATTTCCCACATGATCTCACCTTTTCATATCTTGCTCTTTTCCCTGACGTACGTAGGTAAACCAAAAAGACATTTGCTGACAAGAGGTTGGAGTGATTTTTTAACTTCCAAGAAGCTGGTCCCTGGGGATGCATGTATAATCCTCAGGTTCTCTCTCTCTCTCACTCTTACGCCTGTCTCTGATGATGCACCCTTGCTGCCCTATTCTGCCTGAATTTTTTCTAAGCAAAGATATAAATACGATGTCCCTGTGTCTTCACTTCTGGTTGTTTTGTTTAAGGGTAATATCTTTTCTTTGCTCTTGCAGAGGAAGGGATGGAGATGTGCGCATTGGTGTGCGCCGTTTGATGAATTCTCAGACGGCCACACCATCATTTGTCCTGTCGGGGCACAGCATGCGCCACGGCATACTAGCCAGTGCCTTGCATGCAGTTTCTGCTGGAACCACGTTTACAGTGTACTATCGTCCCTGGTAAACTATCTTATGCATGACATGCGTGCAAGGTATCTGAGAAACTGTGAGAATGTTTCTCTAGTTGTCTAAGTATGGACTACATTCTGTATTCCCCAGGGCTTGTACTTCAGCTTTCATCATTGCTTATGAACAATACGTGAAAGCAATGGCAAATGACTATTTTATCGGAAAAAGGTTTAGGATGCAGTTTGAAGACGAAAAATGTGGAGAGCAGAGGTGACTTCTGGAAACCTCTGCCATTTGACTTTGTTTTCTCATGCAGATAAATCTCTGTCCTAATTCTTCCGGATTAGATGAGGTTGTAAACCAGAATGTACTCAGTTTTTTGGTCCGATCGGAATACTCCCTACACAAGAAACTAATCTGCTATTAGTATGCTTTCTTATTTCGTTTGAAATTTCTCAATTGATCAATGACATGAACAGGCTTGGAGGGGCTGTAGTTGGCATAGAAGATATTGACCAGATGAGATGGCCTGGCTCTGACTGGAGGTGTATCAAGGTAATTGTCCATTTCATTGTCTTTGAGATGTATCTTGCATGTTGAATATGCATTCTCTATAGATGCTGATTATTCATCATCTCAAAAGCTATGTTCTTCATCTACTTTTGTATTGTTCAACCATTTAGGTACTATGGGATTCCACACGTGCCAAATGTATACGCCCAGAAAGAGTTTCTCCGTGGGATATTGAGCCCCTAGATGCAGACGCGAAGAAGCAGCCCGTTCTTCCAACCTCACTAAAGAGGACTCGTCCACACAACTTACCATCGCATTGGCCTCCTATATTTGTTATGGATGGTCAGTATTCACCGTACTTTTGGCTTTAGAACCTACGGTTAATTTCACACCGAAGCGAACTTTTTGGGACAAACACTGGAGGAAAGCTAGCTGGGAGATTCCCCTCCATGTGACTCTTCTGTTATTTATCAAATGTAATTCTCCTCTGCAGGAACCCAGTGGACTTCAGTTGCACCAAAGTCTCGAAGACACTTGGGGGTCTTTCAAGGTCAAGAAAAATCTGATTTGCCAATTTATGAATCCAATGCGCCACGGCCATTACCATTAGTACCACGTTTGCCCACTCCAATCCAACATGTCCAGTTGGCATCACAAGGTCAAATTCACTTAGCAGCACATAATGCATGTCATCAGCATCCTGAGAGTGCATTTTTGGTAGGTGATGGTGGTAAAAGAGAAAGTCAGGGTCCGAGCAATCACGGGCCTCCAGCATGCATCGCTCCAGAATGTGGTCCAGTTAAAAGCTTGTCAGCACAAGACATCAGCCCTGCCAACTCCACCTCCCAGGCACGGATGACTTCTGAAACAAAGGATGAAACAACCCCTTCCCAGACAAATCGCTTTGGGAAATGCATGGTTTTTGGTGTCAATATAGCAGATGACGCATCGGAGCTCCCTTCACCACAAGTTGCCAACTCCAGTGAACTGTCTAAGCCTTCTTCAGTTCCTCCATTATCAAAGTCCAGCCACTTTGTGCAGGTACTAGGAACGTCTCAAACTAATTGCTGTTCAGTCGCTGATAAAAGTTGAAATGCTATTGATAAGCTGTCATAAAAGCTGTGTGGTTTGACAAATTCAGGCGTGAAATGCTACAAGAAAAATTTCCCTGGAATTCACAAACAATATCCGACATTGGTATATGCTTGTCATCAGTTTGAAATTTGAAACATGTAGTCTCTCATGAGATTCAAAGAATCAAAACAATTCCCATTTGAATCTGTCGAAGCTAGACAGCTACCTGCAATTCATTCTTTTCTTAGAAGGCTTGTTCCAAAGGCAATGGCAATTCATTCTTTTTTATATTTTATTCCTTGTAGATTCTTTAATGGAAACTTTCAGTCTACAAGAGTCACTTTCAGGAAATAATCTCTCCTTTACATGGCAGGTTATAATAAATGGAACTGCTACAGGAAGGCCGGTTGACCTCAGACAGTTGAAAGGCTATGAAGAACTCATTCACGGGCTTGATCAGATGTTTAATTTTGGCGGAAACTTGATCGACGGAAGCAGTGGGTGGCACGTGAAATGCATGGATGACGACGGGGACAATGTGCCAATAGGGGATTATACCTGGCAGTTAAGGACGTTATCCCTTTTGTGATTGCAGAAACACAAAATGATTGCTCCTTATGTTTGTGATTTGGAATAACACATGTTAACCATTTGCTGTTCTATGTCACTGACGAGGGGTTGTTTATGCAGGGAACTTGTCTCCATGGTACAACAAATACTTATTTGCCCAAAGGAAGAAGAAAAAGGCAAACAGGGTCCATGCTCATCCGATGTAGTTTCTTCCAAATGCTTCCGTGGTCACATCACTCGCACGGTTCTTTCTCGCTTTGTCTACTCGAGTTCATGATGATTGGGACTTATGTTAGACCTCGTGCTGACGATTTGTGAGCGCATTGACAATGTTGCCACTGGTTTGTGCTTTTGATTGCTTCTGGATCTTCTTTAATTTGTATAAGTCACACTGTGCCGGATATCTATGGTTGCTCCCGGCAATGCATGCATTTCACACTGTGGCCTCCGCAGATGCTGTTATGAAACCCTCTTCGCAGGAATGCCGCTGTGGCACTGTACTTAGACTCATGGCATGATTGAGCTGAAAGAATCATAACAAGTGAATGCTAAAGCTAGCCTGGAATCTCTCTTTCTTTGCATTTATCGGTGCGTAGAACTAGAGTCTGACCATCAATGACTTGCCAATGAGGCCAGGGGTTCTAGTTTTCATTACCGTCTGCTATGTGTAGCTGAAGTAATTGGTGCACCCAGTGCAGCCCAACGTTGAATTGGATCTCTAGGGGGGGAGGAAACGGCTGGATTTTCTTAGCTATTCTTTTTCATAGGATGAGGGAAATTTACTTTTCTCGAATCGATCTTCGGTAACCCTCCCTAGAACCAGTTCGAATGCTCGAGAGGACAGTCATGGTGGCGAAACTGGGAAGTGTGGGGGTAGAAATTCTTTGGACACAGTACGGGAAAATTTCATGTTCTAGGACGTTGGTTCTTACGAACGATAGGAATCTCAGGATAGTTGGGTTTCCGGACTCGTACTACTGACTCACGATGGCTCAGGTATTCAAAAGTGAAACAGTGCATATCTCTTTCTCTGGTGAGTCGTTCTCAAATTGAGATCTTGTAGCGGTGTGCTTGTGGCTGCAGGGTTTTAGCACCTCCTGCTTTTTCCTTCACCTTGCGTCATGCTCTGTTTTTCGAGATGAATAGACAGCTTGATCGAATATAATGCACTCAAACTACGGTAATGTGACTAATGTCCCGAGAGGTAAGCTGTTTTGCGCCATATGTATCTAGTGAGCATGCCTCAGATTCTAGTGGGAATCGAGAGAGTTTGGCTCATCCAAACGCTCATCCCCTCCTTCTTCCACCGGTCCCGGGATTAGTCGGTCCGGTTCCTAGTAGGGGTGTCAATGGGTCGGGTCGGGTTTCTATGATACCCAAAGCGAAAATCCACGTCTCAACGTAGTGATTTCTATCTTACGTGTCAACGTAGTGATTTCTTTACCATCTATCAGTCTTTTACTTCCATGGTTTCCACACAATTTAATACAAAAATCAAAGTTTTCCGTTCAGATTCAGGGGAGAATATCTCTCTGGTGTCTTTCGTTCCCTCTTAGCTAGTGATGGTACACTTCCTCAGTTATCTTGTCCTGGGGTTCCAGCTCAAAATGGAGTTGTTGAACGCAAGCACCGTCATATTCTAGAGACCACTCGAGCTCTCTTACTTGGCACATCCGTTCCCACTGAGTTCTGGGCTGAGGCTCTTCTCACGGCTGTTCATCTAATTAATCGCCTACCCTCATCTGTTCTCCATCAAGACACCCCGTTTCAGCGTCTCTACTCTCGACCTCCTAGCTATAATCATCTTCGAGTTTTTGGATGTACTTGTTTTGTCATTCTTCCACTCACTAAACATACAAAGCTTACCGCCCGCTCTATCCCATGTGCATTCTTGGGTTACAGTACTGAGCACAAAGGTTATCGTTGTTATGACCCAAATGCGCGACGTGTACGTATTTCTCGTGATGTTACGTTTCATGAACACATCCCTTTCTTTTCAACAAATACTACACCTCATGTTTCGTCTCCTGTTCCATTTATGGATTTTCCTGTTGATCCTCTACCTGATCCTTCTAGTCCCTCTTCTACATCGGATCTAGATATATTGCCACCTTCTCCATCTTCACCTATCCCTTGTGCTGCACCTCCTGCTGTATCTGCCCTCGACAATTCTGCACAACTAGAGCCACGCCGTAATCCTCCTCGAGATCGGCGTCCACCTGCCCGGTATGTTGCTGCTACTTCTTATTCTACTGAGTTTGGATCCTTTTTAGCTGCTGTTCATGCTGTACAAGAACCTAATAGTTATCGCGAGGCAGTTCAGCATGTAGAATGGCGCCAGGCTATGTCTGAGGAACTCTCGGCTTTGGAGAGTACTGGTACTTGGGAGCTTGTGCCTCTTCCTCCAGGTCCCTCCCTCGTATTTTGCCGATGGATATATAAGATTAAGACTCGTTCTGATGGCAGTATTGAGCGTTACAAAGCTCGTCTGATTGCTCGAGGTTTCTCGCAAGAGTATGGTATCGACTATGAGGAGACATTTGCTCCCGTAGCAAAAATCCCGAAAACGCATAGAACCCAAAGCAAAAATCCGGGTCGGGTTTTCGGTTTTTTTTTTTTTTTCGTGGGTAAACATATAAACCAGTACAAAGTGGGTGTGAACCCCGAATAGCCATAGTAAAAATTGCAAGCTGCTTATAATTTTTGTCAAGTTGGCTATATAAGGTAAAAATTGATCCTGTTATCCAAGAAGTGGTTTACAATTGCGCCTGTCACCGTGTCACAAACAAAGACCTAAGACCAAAAGCTACAGAACTGATACTATGGTTGTATCGGTCGGTCGGCAAATTCCTTTGCACAGCTTGGGGTCCTTCTGATTTGCACTAATGAAGACTTCGGATGCTCGCTGCTTTGACTCCCATTGAGATTCTCTGAATGCATCCTTAGGGGCTTCCTACTTTCACCCTTGAATTCCAGGTCCACTCCTGGAGTACTTTCAATGTTTGATTCCTAGGTAACCTAGTAAAAAGAAAAATGGGGAATAACAATCTGTAGTATTTTCACTGCCTAGTTCAATAATCCAGATACTGCGAAGACATACAACATGAATTTTCTGCTACTGGAGGAGGAACAGGACATGATAAGACAAATAGAAAAGCACATTTGCAATATGAATTTCCTGATATAGAGATATAATATGAGTTAGATCCTAAAACAAAATTCACGTTTGCAGTACCTTTAAAAGTGTCGAAACTCATTTACTGAGCTCTCTCTGTTAGACATTAAGTTAAGTTTCCACATTAGTTGCTCAACATCATTGCAACCTAAAGGAAGAATTGCTCCATAGCAACTTAAAGTTTACCTCCGAAGTAAGAAGTTCCTCGAGCTGTTGGTTTTCCGATTTGTATTCCTAAAGACGGGATTGAAGTCCAGTACAAACCTGAACAATTGAGTAAGCATCGTCAAGTTACAACTTGGGTACCATCTCAGTAATTTTATTGTGGAATAAATCCTTCTAAAGTAGTCTTGACTGAAAAGATGGCTTGTGTATTAAGTAGCTACTTGGGGACCATCTCGTTTTTATTGTTCAATAAATCCATCTGAACGGTCTTGGAACCGAAAAGTATAATCAGGAAGGAGGGTATGGTACATGGAAGTGCAAAAATCTTGATCACAAGTGACCAAGTCCGCTGTACTTGAGCCAAGTTAAATGACACACCATCAGTTGCTAGCAAAGCAAAAAGGCACCACCAGATGGATTTCTCAATTTCATGGTTACTTCTCAAGATTCAATTCAACCCAACAGAAATATACCCAAATTTCACACCCTCCTGTTCATCCTACGACATATGATCACAATTGGAAAGACGAAAAGCTACTTCCGACATCATAAACACAATCCAGCACGAGATTGGAACAGAAAGAACCGAGAAGAACATGGAAGAATTGAACCAAGAAAGACAAAAGGCTACTCAGAATTTCACCAGATTGAAACAGAACACCGAGCAAAGACCAAAACGAGACCGGCGAAAGCGACAAGCAAAGACAGGCAGTCTGCTCTACCTCGCACCAAGGCTCAACAGCTCGAAGATCTTAACACAGGCACAGGAGCACCTTTCTCTACAGCTGGGAAGCAGTCTGAAGATCTCAAAGAGGCATTCATCCGGGAGTTCCTCGATTGAAGATGGATCTTCCCCCTCATACTCGTTAGAGCTGACGACATATGGATCACATGCGCTGCCCTTCGCGAGGGGTGAGCGGAAGCTTGAAGACGAAAGAGACGAAGGAGTTGATATCTAGGGTTTTTTTAAGTCCCGGGCCGGCCGTAAAAAAAGCCCGACCCGGACCGGCCCGGCCCGAAAAATGAATAATATATGAAATTTAGGGCTCTTACCCAATCCAAAAGAGGCCCGCCCCGAAAAAGCCCTAAATTTCCGGGTCGGACCGGTCCGGTATAGGTCGGGTCGGGATTTATTGACACCCCTAGTTTCTAGTCCCAGAAATTGGGAACTAGTCCGTTAAATTTGGTTCCTGGTTCCTAAATGAGATCAGACCGAATTGGGAACCACTGAACCCTATTGAAAAGTAAATAAAGAGAAACACTTGAAATCAAAGAGCTTCAACAATTTTGACAATCGAAACGACGTCGCCGTCCCCTCGCCACTGCCCTCCCAGCCTTATCCCAACCCAAACGTCTCTCCCTCTCTCTCTCTCTCTCTCTCCTTGCTCTTGCTCCTTAGCCATGGCGTCTCTGCAACGTCTCTCGTCACCTCGCCGCTAATACTCTCTCTCTCTCTCTCTCTCTCCGAGCAAAACCGCATCGCCGCCGATGGCGTCTCTGGTCTCCCGCCTCCCGAGCTGCAATCGCCCTCGCGGCGACGATCTTCTCCCCGCAATCGCCGCCGCGGCTCCAATCGCCTGCCCCACCAGCTCGCGCTCGCGCTTCACTTCGAACCGTCCGGTCAATCTCATCGCCTCCGTCGCGAACCGGTCCGGGCCTCGCGTCCGCAATCCTAAGAGCAGCGAAGAGGACGAAGCTTCCGTCCAAGAGCTCAGGATCCCCGACCATTGGTTGCACCCTCCCAAGGCCCTGGAGGTACTCGCTATTTGCATTGCCTTGCTTCCTTTGAGCTCGAACCGGTCCTTAATCTGGAATTCGAAAATGATTTTGATGTTGGTTTCGTTTCCGAGAACAGTATGAAATCGAGCGTACGATCGTCGATCGCAATTGCTCGAGCAAAAGCATCTCTCTTCGATGCTAACATGATTTGTCTCGGTGTGAAATGTTTAAGACTTCGAATGTTTGCGCTTCAATTGTTTTCCAGTTACTTCTCAGCTACCTTTCCTTGTAGACTCCGAGAGCGGAACCAGTGAAAAGTTGCTATCTTGCGGCTTTGCGTGTGTGTTTGTGGAATTGACATCCTTACTCCAGTACTCACATCTCTCGGGCTGGGGATGAATTTTTATCTAGGAATCGGAATGGCTCAGAGTTTCTCTGCACAAATGGCTGGACGACGAGTACTGCCCGGAGGAGACTAATGTCAAGATCAGCCAGGTTGCCGCGAGCTCGTACTACAGTTCCTTGTTGGAGAAGCGAACCGACCTGGGCGACATCCTGTTGAGCATGGCTAGAGAATTGGAGTCCATCTCCTACCAGGAGAGCTTTCATGGGGCATTCTCGTCGGCGAACGCGGCGATCGATCTGATATGTCGGCGGATAGAGCAGTCGTAGCGGGTACGTTTTTTTCTCATTGCTTCGAGTAGGCCGATTCTTGTCGAGATTTTCGCCATGCCTAAAACATCTACATAGATAGGGAAATGTGTTTAAAAGACTAACTGCTTCTAAGGTAGTCAGGTTTAGTTGGCCTAGAGAATATGTCTAAATCGACCATGTTTAGAGCATTCTTACCGTACGAGATTTGCTAACCATCAGTTCCTTAGAGAAACTTGCAACTAAAGATTAGAGTTTGGGATCACTTAAATAGCTCTCGAAGAAGTCTGATTAAAACAAGCTTATGAGGAAATCATCTGTGCAATCCCTACTCAATGCTCCCTAAATAACTGGGGAAAAACCAGCAAGAAGAATTCTGTACGACTCTTGTCGAGAATTCTTTGGCTCTGACTTGGTATGGTTTAAGCAAGTAAACACACTCTCAGTGCACCTGGTCCGGTGCAGGCAACGTTAGACTCTTCATCACCGTGAAGCCTCCATCCACCACCAGATTATGCCCATTAACATACTTTGCATCATCTGATGCGAGGTAGAGTGCAGCGTTGGCAATGTCACTAGGTTCACAATTATCCCCCATCAAAACACCAGCATCATGTATAATCTTCTCGATTCGTGAATCTTCGACACCACGATAGATTTGCCTCATCTCGTCCATCACAAATGGGGTTGGTATGGCGAAAGGCGATATGCTGTTGACTCTGATGCCATACCTACAAATACAGGTGGAAAATAACCAATCAACAGAGAGAGCAAACTGTACGAAACTAAGCTGAAAACAAAAAACTATGAGCAGAACCTATTAAGTGAAGGATTTTCCAAACTCTTCATAAGAGACAAATATCAGAAGTTATGTTTTATTTCCATCAATAAAATAACATTTTACGGTAAACCTGTGTGATCAAGAGCCAACAGTATCTAGATGTCTATTGGAACCAAACCAACCCCATCCACAACTACCCTTACCTGCATAACTCAGCCGCAACGGACCTCACCATCCCTATAATGGTGCACTTCGAGATAGAGTATGTATGCTGTGCAGTTCCTCCAACTAATCCCGTGATGCTGGCAGTACAGATCATCGAGCCAGTCCTGCGCGGGATCATCACTCGTGCCCCATGCTTTATTCCGGCAACAACTCCTCGTACATTGATGCCCATGACCCGATCAAACACATCAAGATTGAGGTCAGCGATGCTCGGTGGAGTGCCGCAGGCGACCCCGGCATTGTTGTACATGATGTCGAGTTGATTGAATCGGGAAACAGCAAAATCGACGGCATTTGAGATGTCTGATTCTTTAGTCACGTCACATGGGATGAAGACGGCATCAGGTCCAAGCTCTTCAGCCGTTTCTTGGCCTAGCTGGTGCTGGATATCCGCAATCACAACTTTGGCGCCATGAGTGACAAACTTAGCTGCAGTCGCCTTGCCTATGCCACTGGCTGCTCCTGTGATCAGTGCCACCTTGCCTTCTAGCTTCCTGTGGCATGACATGAGAATTGTATGGCATAATAATGGGTCATGACTGTTTTCCTTGGGTTAGGATAAAACAGGAGATGGGTAAGCGATTAATCATCACTGCTCATGAAAATCAATTGATCTTACGAGCATCAATACAATATAGAGTCGAAGAAGCGGCTTGGTTATCCTTTGCGAAAAGGAGTACTTTTTGTGTACATTTCGTAGTCTATGAAAGTTGACTGTCTTTGACTTGCAATGGTAAGTAGAACTCTTGATCGTAGACTCTAAATATGGAAGTGATTCAAGTGAATCTGCTTTGGTAGAGTCCGATTGTTGATCATGGAGATGGCATTCAACATAAGATAAACCCCTAAGTTCCAGCTCTAGAGCTTCAATAGGACCTCATTTGAGTCGTTGCAGATAAGCGTATGACCAGAGTCTCTTAACTTATAGACTTTAGTGTGAACACAGCAGGGGAAAAGTGCAGACGAATCGAGTTTGAGAAAATGACCCAGATACAAAACATCGTACTTGATATAATCAAGGAGAATTTGATCACACCTTCCTGTGTCAGTGGAGAATCTGCTAATTGCTTTCTGATTGATTAAGCCGCTGTTACTGAAAAGGGTTTTGCTGTCATTGCACATTTCAGAACTCACATCATGATGAAGAAGAAGTAGAAGAAGAAGAAGAAGCAGAAGAAGAAAGAGGAGGATGCACACCTTAGAGCAATTCTCAGTCTGCTTCCGAGCATAGTTTCAGCTGATGTCTCAAAGAAAGATGAGATGGATCAGAGAGAGAGAGAGAGAGATCTTCTATTGTGCTCATGTGAGAAGTTCTGTAGCGTTCATGTGACATCAACGGACACAAACACGACAGGCCAAATCAGAAGAAGAAGACAGCATCGTGGCTGTACTTGACTACTTGTCAACGGAAGATATAATGCACTCGCAAGTTGTCTGCCGCTTTCCGTATGGTTGGACGCAATCGTATCGAGGCAGACAATTTCTCTGTAACATGAAGGAGTAAACGGGCACTGAACATTTTGTTCCCGTTGAATTATCAAAAGCTTGAAGGAGCTGGCATCCATTTTTGGGAAAACTTCTTGGACCAAAAAGGAAAGATGAGTTTTTTTTCTATCATGATTAGAGCTCGAAACAGCAGTTGTGCTCGGAGACCACCACAAGAACACGGAAATTGATGAATGATTAGGGATCATTGAATCTTGCGTGTGAATTTTGGCTAAATTGGGTGTGGTCCCTCTGGTTGCTTTCTCCAGGGAACCAATCGAAAGGGACAGGTTAGGAAAGACCTTTGTGTTTCTCGCGGCCAATTCCCTAAAAAACCCTCAACTTTAGCCTTTGTCCCAATTATATTCCAAATTTTTTTTTGTCTCATAAAAAACCCCAAACTTTCACTTTTGTCCCAAATCTACCCCGTTAACTTTTCGTCTAATTTTTTAATATTATTTTTTCGAATTTTTTTATTTTTTCTTTTTCCTTTCCTTTTTTTTTTTTGTTTCACCTTCAACCTCTGGCCGGTCGCCGGTCCGGCGACCGACCAGAGGCGAGGGCCGGCAAGGTCGACCCCGCCGACCGCTGGCGAAGCTCGGTCTCGCCGGCGTTGGGCGAGGCCGACCTTGCCAATAGTCGGCGCGGGCCGAGCCTCGCCGCCACGGCGAGGCTCGGCCTCGCCAAGCAACCGGCGAGGCCGAACCTCGCCGTTCTCGGGCGAGGCCGACCTCGCCGGATCGGCGAGGCTCGGCCTCGCCGGCCGGCTAGGCTCGGCTTGGCCTGGCATTGGGCGAGGCCTAGCCTCGCCGATCACGGCGAGGCTCGGCCCGCCGGCATTGGTGAAGTCGGCCCGCCAAGATGCGGCGAGGTCGGCCTCGCCCAAAGAACGCCGAGGTTCACCTCGGCCAACCTCGCAGTTCTTCGGGCGAGGCCGACCTCGCCGGTTCACGGCGGGCCGAGCCTTCGCGCATCGTCTCGCCGTGGTGGCGAGGCTCGGCCGAGGCCGAACCTCGCTGCTGCCGGGCGAGGCCGACCTCGCCCGCTTGCCGACGGGCCGACCTCGCCCATAGCCGGCAGGCGAGCCTCGCCCACCACGGCGAGGCTCGGCCCCGCCGGCCATTGGCGAGGTCGGCCTCACCCAATGCCGGCGAGGTCGAGCCTCGCCGGCGGCCGGCGTGGCCGAGCCCTCGCCAGATCGGCGAGGCTCGGCCCTGCCGACAACCGGCGAGGTCGGCCTCGCAAGAACAGCGAGGTTTAGCCTCGCCGGTTGCGGTGGGCCGGGCCTCGCCGTGGCCGGCGAGGTCGCCCTCGCCCAACGCCGGCGAGGCCGAGCCTCGCCAGCGGCCGGCGGGGCCGACCTTGCCGGACCGGCGACCGGCCAGAGGTTGAAGGTGAAACAAAAAAAAGAAAAGGAAAGGAAAAAGAAAAGAAAAGAAAATTCGAAAAAATAAAAAATAATATTAAAAAATTGGACGAAAAGTTAATGGGGTAGATTTGGGACAAAAGTGAAAGTTTGGGATTTTTTATGAGACAAAAAAAGTTTGGGATATAATTAGGACAAAGGCTAAAGTTGAGGGTTTTTTAGGGAATTGGGCCTTCTCGTGACATGGCCTTTTTTTGGCACGCTTTGACTTCCATTTTTTTATTTCTTTTTTTTACTTGAGTAATGCTAAATATAGTAAAGTTAATGTATAAAATTGATATAGCGGTGGTTCATAGGAATGCTTGGGTCTCCGCCAAGGGTCGGGCTGGGTCTCTCCACCTGGTTCATCGCCTGCGATGTTGCCTTTACTCACGACTGTTAGGCAAGATCCGAAGGTCGAGCATTGCCGATGGTTAAGCATGAATGGCCGTCGATGGTTGAGCATCAAGCATCGCGATGTATGTCGAGCGTGGAGTGTCGAGGCAACCCCTAGGGTCGTCCGATTGTCGCCTTTAGTCGAGCATCGCCGTTCCTGGGTCATGCGACCTCGGAGCTATCGGTTGGGCTCGTTGTGGCCCTTGAAGCCCTCGCCTAAGCTCTCGGAGACAACGAACAGTTGCTCCCCTTGGGAAAAATAACTTTGCATATCCCAAAACTCAACCAAACGCAATTAGTCCTTTTGATTATTGCATAATCTCACCAGATCAAATGACCCCAGAAATAATGGAGATACAATTGTAACTCATAATTGATTTTTTTTTTTTTAAATCTTTCTTCGATTAGGCTCCCACTTCAATAAAGTATTCTATCCTATAGTCTCGCCACACGGAATGGCACATGCCCACACCATGTGTCATTGTCATGCATCGCTGCACTATCCCATATGATTAGTACATAAAATACCCATTACTCATCACACTGTCCTTTTCAATGCGAAGATATTTTCATGTGATGCTCGCACCATGTATGATATACACAGTGCAAATATAAATGGGCGGTCCCCTTTGGACGATGAGCATAATTTATTTTTTTTTTGAAGCAGTTGGTCGCACAACGTCTGCCGTGTGGTTAACATATAAAATACCTTTCCATGTCCCAACCGGGGTGGCTTAGGCACGTTAGCTATGATATAATATAAGTGATAGATTGAACAGTCATCGAAAAGGGCATTTGGTCTAGTGGTATGATTCTCGCTTAGGGTGCGAGAGGTCCCGAGTTCAATTCTCGGAATGCCCCCCAACTTTCTTCGTTTTTCTTTTTCTCTTTCAAAACTTTTAATTAGCACTTCCCAAAACGGGCTCCGGCTCGTGACGTTTTTAGACAGATGAAAAGCCCACCGGCTCCAAAACGACACCCCGTTGAAGCTATGAAACCCTACTGGGCTTCCATCTTGTATTCCCTCATATGGGCTTGAAACCAGCAAGCAACATGAGAATGCAAAATACTTCGGTTATATGAGCAACCACAATATTCTTCCTTGTTACTAATTCTTCGCAATTGGGCTATGTACTCCATTGAAAATTACTTTTTTAATTGTCGCGTGGGCTGTAAAGCTAGTCGACATATAGTTATGTACGTAGGGCTAGGATGCAATTATCTCATAACTTGTTTAATTTCCTTTTCCTTTTCTATCTCTTGTCCCGAAATGATAGCTGTAAAATCAACCGCAAATGTTCGGATCTTCACGTAAAGCGTGATTTATCGGCTAAAAAACAGGAATGAAAGAAAAAGGGGAAGGCCCGTTGTTGTCCAAACCCAGAAAAGCGATAATAGAGTTGATGCAAATGATCTCTTAAGTAGAAGTGATTAGTAAAAACCACAAAACGAGGGAAGGAAGAAAGATCAAGTAAAAAGGGGGCATTCCGAGAATCGAACTCGGGACCTCTCGCACCCAAAGCGAGAATCATACCACTAGACCAAATGCCCTCTCATCTGCCTATGTTGTTTGAATAATTATAATAAACCCTTTAAAAGTGAAGAATTTGATGTCAGCATTTTTTTTTTTCGTTTTCTAAAATTAGCTGTTGGCAATACTGAGCAAAATCCCTGATAACCTTGATTCCCTTTGTACCCTTTCGGTTTTCATGCATGAATTTCACGTTGGATTCTCAAGACTAGGCACGTTTCCGGGTTTTAAGGCTTGGAACTCGAACATTTTAGCATCAAATACTCTCTTTGAACTTAAGACATTCTTCTTTCCTTCGGTGGATACGCCGGACGACATGCTAATATGGTGTCACGATCCCAATTGACCGGCTTCATTTTGCCCCGTCTAGAACATTAAATAGAAAAGATGACGCTCTCAGTCGGAAGCATGGCGTCGCATTAACATATCACGTGGTGTATTTTTTCTTTAAATTGGACTTGCCATTTACTCTACTTGGTCTACTTTGGATCTTGACTAATTCGAGGATGTCCCCCCCACTCGTTAATGCGATGATGATACATTCTTAATTTTACTGGTCACCAAGCCCTTCTCATTTTTGCGTTTTCCGACAGCAACTTGGAAAAACGAACGAAGTCTCGTAAATTGACTTTAGAAAACTTCTGAGGTTTTCGAGCCCTTTGGAAATGGTCGTGACATTGACCCCCCCCCCGGGCATCCCGCGTCGCCGGTCTTGTTCCATTGCCAAGTTCCTCATCGCGCACTAAACGGGAAGAAAAATTAGGGTTTGAAATGAAACCTTTTCGGAGATAAATTATGTCCTGCAGGTAGAGGTACAGAGTCAACCTCCAGTTCGAAGCTTCCATGTGAAATGTACATGAATTAGAAGAATTAGGATCCTCTCGATTTATGGAACGGCATTAATCTCTCTCGCGATCTAAAGTCGTGGCCTTTGTTAGAGGCTGTTTACCTCGGATTCGAGGTCGCCTCTCATCGCCGACTCTATTGAGAGAGAGAGAGAGAGAGAGAGAGAGAGAGATTGGAGCTCACGAGGTCAACGGGCAGCGGCGACGAGAGGAAAGAGCAGTGGCGCGGCGCGGCACGGCGAAGAGCTGAAGAGCACGGGAGGCATGCGCGGAGGTGGAAGCAAAGGGGGGAGGGTGTGTGTCGTGGATTGACGGTGCTTTGTAAATTTTTTTTATAAAGATAAAGTTAGTGAATTGGAGATAAAATACCCAATTTTCCCTTAAAAGTATAGGACTCGTTTTCCGAACTAGAGTAATGCATCATGTACCATTCGACCAATAATTCATTTGTTGTCCACGCTACATGACACGTACATTATGGTCATCTTGTATTCTTAAAATACGGAGTATCGGAAATTTTCGTCTCGACTAATTCCTGTGAGCCATATAATATTATAACGATAATAAGGTCCTTCAAGAAAATGGTGCGCATTTATTATTTCTCATAACGATTGTGTTAATACGGAAGACCAAATTACCGTAATTGACGGGGAATATGGAAGACCGACCAGCACTTGCTAATTCAAACGAAAAACGCGGTTGACCTCTCAAGGAATTTCAGGAATTTAGATGATAAGGATATGCGTTGCCTGCTTGAACAATTGGCGCATGTCATTATTATGATCACGATATAAATATGGCGAAATCACGAGTCAAAATTAGAACGCTATGCTGCCACAAAAGTCAAGATTAAAAAAAAAAAACCATTAAGTGCCCTTTTTCAAAATCCGAGGAATTGAAGTCTATATATATATAGACTAAATTCTTGACTTCAACAACTTCAACAACTTTAGATAGCAAATTGAGAACAAATAAATAAATCGAATACATGAAAATGATCTTGTGATAAGGATATGGAGCAAGAAATATGCTAGATGTGCTCTACATTTTTTCTTTAATCTATCAATATTTCCATTTTGTAATAAAACAAATCAATCAAAAAGTATCCAAAGCATCTTAAACCTCGGATTTTTGTCCAGGAATTCCATAAAAGAACATATGTACTATAATTATATGGAAAAAAAAGAACATATGCTACGAAGAGAAAATATGGTTCCTTATTAAACAAACAATAATAACTATAATTATAAAGTAGTCGGCAAACTTGTGTATTATCTCATAAATCTCTCGTATAATCTAGTTTTAATAATTTTCATCTCGAGACAATTCTAATTCATCGGTCGGAAATAACTCGAACCGCACTTTTTCTTCGTTTGATAATCCTTTTTTTTTTTTGTCGTTTGTTATGTGTGCAACTTTTTGGTCATACATATAACAAAACGATGTCGTTTTCACGAGAACATATACCCCAAAATCAAGAGGGACTAATCTTTTTTTCTTTTTTTGGTCAGAAAGAGGGACTAATTCAACTCCATAAGTTTATAGCTTGCATAATGACCACACCCAACAGTTTCCCTACTCCGTTCAACCTAACTTCCTTCTCCAATCTAAATTTGGAGATCAAATAGAGTCATAACACCGCTAAGATTCGAAGCAAGACGTTGCCTACTTCATACCACAAATATAACCCTCAATTAAGAATTTTTTTCTGTCGAAAGAAAATTGCATTAATTACTCAAAAGAATACATGAGAACTACATTGACTTTCATGACAAAGAAAATCGAAGCAAAGCAAAATCCAGAATACAACAAAATAAAGCCAAATCCAAAAAAGAAGGATGATCAACAGAGCACCAGTAGGGTTAAGCACATACTCAATTAAGATTAAACCACGCACTAATTACCTCGCGAGAGTGAGTTAGGGTTAGCCAAATTGGCACGTATCATGTGAATGTGTCAGGAGCTCTCTCCAGATAACGTTTGAAAAAGCCCGATGGATGTTGGCATTGCATTCGTGGGAATCACCAGCGACGACAATTTTTTATATCGACAACGTGGGTTCTCGGTCATACTTTGTTCAAATACCTCTTCAATTTCGGCTCTCTCGACAGTTCAACGGCTGCCCAATCTTGACTCCCTCTTCCTCTCTCTCTCTCTCTCTCTCTCTCTCTCTCTCTCTTGAATGTTTACTTTGGTCGGCATGCAAGAACTAGGAAAGTGCCGTGTGCCTTATGTCTTATTTGTAGAAATACGAGCCATTTCTTTAATTCATAATCTCATTTGGAGGCTTTTTTTAAGTATTTTTTTAATGTAATTTCGACGCGTTCGGGTATGGTAACGAACGTGTTCGGACCGTCATGATTCGACGGTAATTCAAGTGGTAAGGAATCGGCCCTTGAAGACTGTAGGAGAATCTTATGGAAAATTGAGAACGAGTCACCACAATTTCGGTGCCGCGCGGATTTAAATCGAGATCCATATGGTCATTGATGTTAGAAATGCAATTTACATATCGTTCTTTGGCAAGGCCATTTCCGGTCATGGTTTTACGCGGAGCAATTTATTAAAGAATAGAAGACCAAGTCAGCAATTACAACCTAATCTGGTAACCCCAAATTGACCCTTTTCTTGATCCGAGCTACCCAAAGAAAACAAATCCAAAGATGAAAATGAAAATGAAAAGGAGAAGAAATGTCCCTTATTTCTCCTCATTGGTGGGGTCCTATGCGCATTAATCATTGCATAAAGCTTCTAGATGAGACTTGCCCGATCAATCAAACTAGTAGTTGTAAATATATTTCTGCACGATTCAATTGGGTTGGGTTTCAATCATTTCTAGAAGAAGAAGAAGAGGAAGAAGCAGCAGCACATGGTTGGTTCCTCATCGCCATCTCCTTCCCCTTTTCTTCTGCCATATAAAGATTTTCTGACAGGTTCCTACTAAGTCACGGCCCACCACAAGATTTGAAGTGTCAAACAAGACAGGCCACATCGCATGGTAATGCCCCTTGATACAAGTAGCCCATTACCACCGTGCCTTGAAAAATCCTGGATTCTCTACCAACTATATAATGCCATGAGAAATTTTTGTACCCTTTTGTGGAAAAGTTCCTGACGACAAGACAGAGCACACGATCGGTTTTGAGGAAAGATGGAGGAAAGGTTGCAGAGGAATGTCGCTGATGATGCTTCGCCCTTCTTGCTGCTCGAAGCCACCGGCGATTCCGAGGTGGATGGGAGGGATCCCCAGCACGAGGGGGTTCCGATGGAGGTGGACGACGCGGAGTCCTGCAGCTACGACTCGTCTGACTGGATCGATGCAGACGACGTCGGGGGGGAATACGACGACGCCACGGCATGGCTGGGAGATTGTCATGAAGAGGATGAGGATGAGTTCGAGGACGAGCAGGACAGTCATGTGCAGCTTCCAAAAGTGGAGTACAAGTCCTTGGTCTCGGTGGAGTCGACCAATGAGTTGATGAATGAGATGGAGAGGAGCAAGCTGTTTTGGGAGGCTTGCCTGGCTTCTTGATCCTGGGGGGTGCGCTTCTTTTTTCGGCTTCCCGGGTTCGCCTTCAAGCCTACAATATCGCTTGACGGCTATAAATTCTTTTTGCCTTTTTGTTCAGCCAGTAAGTGCACATAGGAATGAAATGAATGCCTAACTTATTGTCGAGCTGTGCCTCCATGTTATATGAATGGAGAAGGCTTGATTCTTGAAAAGCTATTTTCAGTTCGAGTTTTAGCTCAAGTAAGACTCCAATTACGTGCAGTTCTCGTGAAATGCTACAAATTCTCGGGTACCAAGTATTTCTCGCTCGCAAAATCTTGGCTCAAAGTCGAACGGGATTGCGAGCGCGCATATGCATATGAGGGAGTATTCGGTAGCAACGGCTGCTGAAAGTTGACTTGACTTGCATGGCTACTAACATTCCTCTAACTCGACGTTGCTCGGGGTTAAACTCAAATAGCCAATAAGGAAAAGCTCGAGTAGCTCACGAGCAATCTTCCATCAGCAGAGCTCCGAAAAACATTCAAGAACCAAAACAATCTGATACGATACGGACAGCATCAATAGCGGCAAAAATCTGTTAGGCCTTCCTTCTCTCTCCGCTACTTCAAATTGTTGGTTAGTTAGTTGCCTTGACTTCTTCTGCCAGTAGGTCCAAATGCTCCACGCTATCATCATACATACACAAGGACAACTTCCTGCAATTTTTTCCCATTACGACTCTTTATGACAGGCTGTATCTTCCTATTTCAGAAAGACAACCACGGTGGTCCAAAGTTTGTACCAAATGCAACCACCATCACAAAGAGACGGTCCAATAAACCAAAAGAAAACACCTCCCATGTCCCCAATTTATTTCAGGCCTGCCTTACTGCACGACCGATAAATGCGAAAGAAACTACTCATTTTGAGGCTCTCTCTCCTCCGTGTCCCAGGAATATGAAAATGAAAATGAAGATAGACAGTCGCAATCGCACAAGAATTCCGACTAATGTAAATTGCACAACAGAGAAAATCCACTAGCAAAGGCACAATCAGTGGTAATCCACCGAAGGATCATCAATTCTCCTTCTACATCACATATGGTGGAAAGGACAGATCAAAAACAAACCACATATCAATTTCACGTACAGATTGAATCGAGCGAGATTTCCATCACAAGGTTAGGATCCTTGGTTACGAAAACTACAAGAACAAGCATGAACTTTCAGCAGCTCAGCCCTGAGCTGAACCACGATCCTAAAAATCCACCACTAGCAAAAGGCACTCCCAATCACTGTTTGAAGTCAACACACCTAGAAGTAGAATGTACATAAGATTAAGAAGCCATGACTCTAAGACAACACATGAAATCTGCAGAGTATGATCCCAAAGAATGGGAAATAAGAGTTTGGTCAGACAACCGAGGGCATACGAGAGACAGATTCTACCATATCCATGTCGTTCATTCTTTCACATTCCTTCTGTGGACTCTTCATGTCAAGGACTTGTGCTTCTCCCATCCTCCAACTTGTCCCAGAATCTTCTCCATCACTAGTCGTCAAAGTGGAAGTCCTGTTTTTGCTATCAGTGAACGAAATACCCGACTCATCATTGACAAGCGAGCAATTTCTAGGACTTCCATAGTTTTGTTCCACTTCACTCGATGGCCTTTCAGACGAAACATTTGCATTTTCTGCATGATCGCATTCTTCCAGTTTCCTCAAGAAGCAATCCTCTATTTCACTCGGTGATCTGCCTTCATCTTCGTCCACGCAGCTCCGGCTGTAATTCGCATCCTCGTTGTCATCAAAGTCTGACGTTGGCCCTCTTAATTCACAGCTGGTATCCATCTCTTGCTGACTATCATATTCATAATCGGTTTGTCGCCCGGATGAACGAGATGACATGGGTGAGTATCCTCCGGCAGCAGCCTCTTCACGTTCTCTGAGAGTCTTCATGATTAGAGTCTTGAGCAAGTTCATTACTTGCACAGCGTGCATCAGAGCGGTCAATGGATCGGACATCTACAGAGAAAAGAAGAATGCATTGCTTAAGTTGTTGTTCTCTTGGAAGTTGAACTTCGTTTTAGTGTAATTCAACATAATGATAACAATTTCATAGTCAATTGTCAGAAGAATTACAGAAATCCTGCAAATTTGAGCTAGTCTTTTAGTATCATAATGACAAAAGGCAATAGTTTTTGTGAACTTTGTATAATTACAGTTGTGGCAGGAGATCTCTCTCCTAACCACTCTTCTCTTTCCTCAGCAAGTGAAAATAGAATCATCTCGCGAACTGATATTGAGAAACCTATATCATCCTCCCCTCACCTTGCGGTCCACAGTCAACATAGCCAACATGTCGATTTTCACAAAAATATTAGGATGGTACTTGTTGAACGAGACCAATATCGAAATTTCTGAAAATTAGGGAGATCTGATTAAGTACCTGAGTCATGTTTGGCGCGAAAACCATCGCGATGTTTCGTGCATTCATTTTGTTGAATTCCTCTTCCTCGACCACATCAGCCATAAGACCGACAGCCCAATTGAGCAATGCCGACTCGGTTGGCTTTAGCTGCTTCACAAGCTCGATGGATTCTTCTTCGGTGTTGCATTGGAGAACTTGTTCCGGGGAAAGCCCATCGAGCACGCCAGAGGGGAGCTCTCGGAACCAAGCTTTGATTAGACCTGCCAAACAGTGAACATCGATATCATCGGGCACGATGCCCCTGTTCAACTGGTCCCTCACATGCTCCTCTTTGCTGTTCTCCGGGTTTATGCGGAAAATTCCTTCGGCCTGCAGAACCAACAATAGAGTTCGAGTGAAAACCCAGGACTCAAAACAAGAATTAGGAAATTCTTTGCCTGCAAGACAATATCAGTGGAGAGTGATTCTACCTTCAAACCGTCTTGTGAGTATAGCCGCTCCTGCATGAGCAAAAGAATGGAAGGGACGCTATTTCCCCGTGAATCAAATGAGCACTGCATCGACTCAGCCGAGACTCCAAACACACTGACACTGCAAAAGAGAAGACCCAAAAATTAAGCTTTTTTCCTTTTTGGCCATGACATGCAAATCAAGTTCAAACGCATAGTAACTGCAGATTCCAACCCGCGGGAAAAACAAATTCGTGGTAAAGTAAGAGAATATGGCCTAAAAGTTAGTACCGCAAATGTCCAAATCAAAAAGGCTACCAAATTAGAAAGAACCAAACCGACATAGAGCATAAAGTCCATACTTTTTTATTTTAACCAATTTGTTGGTACTTACTAAAGAAGAGACCTTTCAGCAAGTAAAGAAAGACTCTGGCCTTCATCGACCCATAAGCGACGCAGTTTAGACTCATCTGGTACATTTGATAACCATCATTAGTTCATAACTCTCAGCTTCACTTTCCCAACCCAAGCCAAAAACTTCAACTTGCGAAATTAGAGAATGTGCGAAATTGAAGTGAAAATCATACATTTGAAGCTAAATTTAGTCATGACCGAAAAAAAGAAGAAGCTAAATTTAGTATGTCGAATCATACTAGTGCAAAATTTCAGCTCTTGCACAGAAATCTCCTCGAACAAGAAAAGGAATCACACCAGAAACGCAAAAGGAACTGACCAAACAACTTGCTGTCTCTCAGATCTGAACTCCACACCATTAGAGCACCCAAGGTAAAATCCACCTCATTTTTGTCCACAATCCCACACTCATCAACACTCTAAAAACCCAAAAACAGGAGGAAAAGGAAGGCCAGAAAAACTAAGCTTTTCGAAGCTCATCCGCCAAAAGAATTTCAAATTCTGGGTTACCTCGCGCTGGGGACCCGGCAAGGGATCTCGACCTCGAACTCCACGGGGAGGCCCAGGAACCCGTGGAACCGGTCGAAGGTGACGTGAGTGACGTGGCGGACGTTGGTCGGCCACCCGATCTCCATGTGGTGGTGGGTCACGACCGTGGCCGTCGCCGCCGTCATCACCTCGTCGCCCCGCTCGACCCTGCAGGAGGCCATCGACTTCCTCAGCGCCGTCACCAGGAGGGCCAGCACCGAGAGCTGGTTCTGCTCGTCCTCCGCGTCGGCCGCCGCCATCTTCGCCTTCTTGGCGCTCCCCCCGCCGCACCCTCCGCCCTTCGCCACCATCACGGGCCCCGTCATGTCTCCCTTTCTCTCTCTCCCTCTCTCTCTCTCTCAGTGGTCTCTCCGGAAGGTTCTTGTTCCTGTTCCTGTTCTCCTATCTTGTCCTGGACCAAGTTCTTCTTGCCTTCTCTCCTTGTCTGGGTTTTGAGAGAGCGAGAGAGAGAGTGAGTTAAGGTGGGTGAGGCTGCATTGAAGTCGGGGTCTTTTGAAGCTGTCCTTTGTGCGCTGCGGAGGTTTTTACGAGTTCGCTTTTGGGGAGTTCCAAACGGCCACCTGTGTGTGGGTTTTTCAAATTCCTCCCCCCTCAGGCTCGCTTTATCCGCGATGTCGGGACTTTTGACCTCGCTTCGACACTCTATTTACAGGTCGTGCCACTCTCCAGGAACACGGGTCCATCTCCAAACTCCCACACACCGATCCTGTCGTCGTCTTCTTCTTCCCCCTAGGAATCAGAGACGGCCCACTGAAAAATGAAAATTGCTTTCGATGAAATCGAGCGAGCAGCGGAGAAGAAACTTTGACCATCGCCCAAGGAAACGCGCGTTGACCACCACCTGGGACTGTTCGGTAACAGTTCATCTGTACAGTGCGTGATGTAGTAATTAATTGAGCCATAAAAGATAGCGATTAACTAACCATTAGAGCGCCGAATCTAGGTGAAAAGATCAGGAATTAGGATCGATGCCAGATCAGAAAATGGTGGGTATTGGGAGGGGGGTTGGCCAACCGCATCATGGCAGGGGAGGTGGGTCGGTGATATTATGAGGATCTAATGATCTTATCGCTTTTCATGTTCCAAAAAAAAAAACGACACAAAGGAGAAGGAAAGAAGGGGAAGAAATGGAAGAAAATTGTGAGTCCACATGGACACGAGTGCTTTGATATTTGCGTATTGGGGTCGACGTGGGTGAAACTTGTCCTTGATTCGAGGACGAGGTTCGATGTTTCCGACGAGGCGGGTGAGTCCCTTTCATGCGATTTTTGGCGTGATTTGTGGGCGGGGAGGAGGAGGAGGAGGAGGGGGAGGGGTTTTTGTGTAACTCTCGAGTTTTCGCTTTCTCCGAAGAAAATGTAAAGGCTTTGATGGTTATGGGAAGTACGGGGGGTCCTCCACACCATGTCGTGATCACGGGGTGGAGCTAGCTGCATCGCTTGGCTCGGTGTTCGGGATGCCGAAAAAAAAAAAACTTGCTTAATCAGGATCATAATGGAACATTTAGAAGATGGGACATTTCATGACTATGAGAATCTATAGCTACTTTTCGAGAAACATACAGACCGATAGACCTGATTAGAGGCTTAGCGGGTTACAAATCCGTCCACATCTTATTTGAGCCACGAGTGTCTAAAGACATCTTTGAGCTGATCTGGACATATAGTTATCGGGCTCGAGCTAGACTAGCCCGCAAACTTGTTTTTATCTTTTTTTGTTCGTGGGCGTGCCCGGGAAATAATGTCGGCCCAATTCAACGGTCCGACCTTGGCTTGCCGCCCTTTGATCACCTCTGTTGACTTACTTTGATAGATTGTAATTTTAAAATTTGTGTTTTGTATAAATGTGATCGAATGGGTAGGTGAACCTAAAGGGCTCCGACATTCTAGTAGCTGGGTAACCTTTACTCGACGATTTAATACATGATATCTTTCGATCCCTCCGCCGCACCAAGAAGTCGCATATAGCGCATGGCCAAAAGTATTGAATCTTTGCAGTACAACATGGCAACATCTATACCAAACCATCACTTGATGAGACATCAAGAAGTCGCGTACATTACATAGCTAGGCTCTTTTTACTGGATGTTACACACAGATCCGGAAGCCGTATACGTCATTCAAATGGTAGGACTTACATTGGCAGCAGTGGATGTAGAGTTTTGATTCGAAGATGACGAGAGGAGGAATTTTGACAAAATATATGCTTAGGGAGTGAAATCCCTATGCCTTCCATGAAAATTTGGAAAATTTTAGCAAGTACTAATTCCAAACATCTGGCTGCCAAGGGGGCAACGCCGCCAACCTTCTTATGATCCGTCCATGCACGATGGATCCCAAGAAGTGAAGGGAAATTCCCGTGCATTTTCCATATTATAGTGTGGGCTTTATAATTATCATTATCAATCACAAGACAATATCATAAAATAAAAAATAATAATGTGGCGTCGCACATATAACACAGAGTGAATTGCACGCTTTTATATCTTCGTGATAAATGTAGCATGAGCAGACTTATCAAAAGAGACCACACTCGTGCATACTACAAAGCCCGAAACTCATGAAAAGTCCATTGATCACCTCAGATTATTGTGTTTTAAAAAGGGTGGGATCGATAATTTATTTTTTCTCGATCGTAAAGATTAAACTCTTTGAACCCACATGCGCATGGCCGAGTTAGTGGGCGCTTTCCTTCCCTCCTCAGAGGTTCTGGGTTCGAATCCCCGCTCGGCTCCGTAATTTAAGTGGGGGGCCCTGGCCGTGGGTTGCTGGGCTAGTCTCCCCTGAGGTATAGGCGCCCCGATTACCTGTGCGGTCTCATCCCCGGAAAATGGTGGCGGATCCTCGATCACAAAAAAAAAAAAAAACTCTTTGAGTGAAAAGAAAAGAAAAAAAACCACCCTTTTGTCTCGCGAATTCAAGAAAATCGGAAAAACTCCATCTATTCTCCAATTGGTTATACTCGATCATTCGTTGTTTTGGCCAAATTTTGTCCCCACGTAAAGAACACGAGCTTCTCCCCATCTCAAAATGACGCGAAATCGCAAATCAAACGCAAAGAGCATCCGAGGCAAATTCGATTCGGTTTGTTTGGTTTTGGGGGGGAGGGAGGGGGGGGTTAGATAGAGGAGCATCCGATGCGCAAAAAAAAAACACACTCGCGATCCATTTATTCCTTAACTTGTCGTTTCGTATCGCCATTAAATCATTCCTTTGTCTTTTTTCCTTCTTTTTTTATTTTAAGCAAGACAAAATTCAACGACGGACCTCGGAAGAGACGACGAGGAAGAAGATCGATCCCAAATGGGGACAGATCTGCCCCCCGCCCTCCGCCGATCGGACGGCCAGAGGAAACCGAGAGCGGAAGGAGAGGAGCGGCCCAGATTCGATCCGGTGGGCCCCGCGTGGGGGTGGGGGGGGGGGTGGGGACAGATCCTAATCTCTCTCTCTCTCTCCACTTCGGCACTATTTGAAATTCAAAAAAGCGAAGGCATTCCCTCAACGATCGAATTCGATCGTTGCCTCTCCTTCAGCTTTTATTTTATTTATTCATTTATTTATTTGGGGGCTCCTTATATGTATACTTTCGTTGTACCTTTTTCGCTGAATCGGACCACCTTTTATGTCCAGCTTTCGTTGCTGGTGGGGGGCGATACACGTTTTGATACCCCACGCCACCCCCCCTCGTATCATCCAACGTTCCATTTGCATCGTCCTCCGCGCTGTCCGCTCCTCCTTCTCCCCGAGGCGAAACGGAGAACCTGTTTCGAGGCCGATTGGAGACTCTTTGCCCGGTTTCGAAATGCTGGACGTAAAATAGGATGGAAGTAGCGTTGGGTCGACCGGCGAGACTCGATGTATATGTTTCGGCATCGAATTGTGATTTCGTAGGGCTCGCTTCTCGGCATGTCGCCGGACTCCGGTTTAGTCTGAACGAGCCCTCGAATGCCGAAAGAGTTCGGCCAATTCTTTCTCTTTTCCCTTTTTGCTAAGGTAGTCTAACGCACATTCTTGATAAGTGATTTGAAGCTTAAGTTGTTAGACGAAAGAATGGTTTTAATATTTAGATATTCTAACAGAGTCTGACTTGACATGTGCCGACAAGGTCCACGCTCATAGATGAACTGAGTGGACAGTCGAACCCAAGATCAGAAAAGCTTGACTTAGCTGGCAATTCGAGGTCTCGAGTTCAATTCCTATTTCTAGACGTGGTAATTATCTGTCTTGGCAAAATAAAATCTCCACGTTTAGCTCGTAAAACAAAAGGGGGCTCTACATAAACTTTTGCTTCGATGGATTCAAAATGAACGAATGATGCGATCATGTGCCCTTCGTGCTTCTTCACGTGAATCCCGACTCTTTTAATTCCACCGTGCGAACGAGATTGAATCTCCACCGCCACATTATAATCAGTGCGAGTCGCCAACATCCTCATCATTGCCTAATGGCCCCCCATCTTGCGAATGTCGCATGTGGCAAGTACATCGGAATTTGTTGGATTAACTAACGTCCAATCCTTCTCTAGATCTGTTTTGTGAAATCAAGACAAAGCAAATGGGTACTCGTTCGTCGAAGCCAAAGTACACGTACAACAGATAACAATTGCTTTTGAATTTTGCGGTCTCCGAGTAAACTTCACACTTTTGGTGGTGTTAAAGTCATAACTCTCGATTACCGTACCGATATATAGACTCGAGCGATGCGCGGTTACCTTTAACCTACCGAGTCGAGAAAAAAAGCGATAATTAAATTCGAAACTTACAAATCGATGAATCAATAATATAAACCTCATCGGATTTATTGAATTACATATGCATATCGTCTACGAATGCTATAAATATTTCTTAATCTAACTGGCGATATAATATTCTATGTACTAGATCGATAGAGAACATAATGCATGTTTAGGAATCAGATCTTATACCGGCAGTGCCCTATTAAAGAATTAATTGCATATTTCGGGTTTAGATACGACTCCTCGACACCAAAATTTGATCCAAATAAAGGTTGTCTCGCTTTGAAAATGAAGATCGTCACGAGCTTGAGCTTTAGTGAGCTTCGTGGTGTGTACTAAGATTCTATCTAGGTTTGTCATGCCCGGTTCTAAGGAATAACTTCTACCAAATAACTAGTCTCAAAGCTGAGATGAGACGTCGGTCCCGAACATCACCGGGATGCTTGCCTCCGCCAATCCCGACTGGCCACCAAAGCCCCTCGGACCGCACTTCCATGAGTGCATCGTCAAGGGCAAGTCCATGCAAAAAATGCAAACAAGGTTTCATTTCGACAATGTTTCAAGGAACCGTCGCCCGAAGGACCAGTAGTCATTCAATCACCGATAATTTGCTTTCACCCATTCGTTGAAGACTTTTTTAACAACGAAATATACATTCGAACACGACATTGTTACGATGGGGACTGATCCATCGAGTAATAACCGAGACTACCACGGCAAGGAGTGCAAAATGAAGGAGTTGTTTCTTGTTGTTGGGCAAAACGCAGCGAGTTACGGTTCATTTTAGTGGAAATGTGGCCTCTACAAGCTTTAGGACACGATGCATTGTTAAAAGTCTTGGGGCTCCTATATGGGCCTAGCAATGATGTCCAATCACAATGGCAGCGAGCTGGCTTCGAGACGGCTGGTCTTGTCTCAAACCCGTTACACTGGTTTGTGAAAATCTAGATCGTGCAATCACTTCAATTTCAAATTCTTTGTTGAAATCCCATGAATCATAGAAGGTCAAGTAGAAATTGCGAAAATGCAAAGGGATATGTAATTTGGTCGTGTATAATTGCACAAGCGACCTTATAATTTTTAGAAGAGGAAAAACTATGTCGATAAAATGGGCCTCTGGTTTCGAGTTGCCCTCGAGATAAATCTCAGGCCCGTCCGAAACCTTATCGTATTTTGTAAATAAACTCACAAGCCCGTCCCGAAATGATAAATTGCAATCCATTCAAGTCCAATTTAGGGTTTGGGACTAGTCGGGTGCCCGACAAGACCCAGCCCCTTGCCATTCCTAAGCTAGCGTTCATTGTACCAATGTTGGTTGTTTGACCAACTCATTGACCCAGCACTGTGTTTTCTGGGCTTTTCACCGTTGAATTGAAAAGTGAAAAATCACAACCGTCCAAGCCGAGATCTGTGGAAGGGCCGAGATTTGTTACATTTTCAAGCTATCGGTAAAAACAAAATGGGAATATGGTAACTCTCGAAGATCATAGAATGTTTTTAAATGATCCATTTATAATTTTTTTGGAACAAAATACCAGATAGTATCGCGTAGACAATAAATGCCTGAATATGGTGATACTCTGTCCAATTTCCGAGCAACAAACCGTTCTCATTTTATTTTAACCAAGTAAGTTCCAAACAAGCCTTCCAAGTACTTTGTCCATAATAGTAATATTATATATGAGATTCTTGAGATTTTCCATTCCATCTTATGGTTACTGATTTTTTGCATTTCAGGGTTGCTTATTTTTGTAAAACGATGTAATAGAGTGTTTAAGTGTTAAACTCATTTATCTAAATTCCCAATTACAGTTTGAGGCATGATTTTATAGAATAGTTTTACTATCTTAACACTATAGCTCGAGATATCGCAATATCATTTCACCTTGTCAGTGGAGAGAGCGAGGGTGGGCGGTGCCTCAGAACGAATTTCGATGAGCCTCTTTTGTACTGAAATGAAGAGATTAATTTACAACAGATTAAGACGTGACAAATGAGAAATTTAGATCTCATAGAAATTATGTAGATCTAGGACTCTCAGACCACATTTCATGTTCTTGGTGGATTTCATCTTTGGAAACATTTCTATTTTTCTCTCTCGATCACTCAAATCAATAACGTGGCAATGGCAATGTCAAGTTGCCACTCCATCAATAAATCAGTAGCAATGTTACCATGCCGAGTACCATCATGAGTGTCGGAAAAACAATAAATGCTTTCAAGAGCTATTATGTCATTGCAACATAAACGGTGTGCTTATGTTCTGGCCACATAAAGAATGAAAAGAGCTTCGCCCTATATTAAAGGGAAACACCATAAAAAATCTCAAACTATACCGCTTATGATAAATTTACCTTGAATTTTTTTTTTGTGATACGAAAAATCTCAAATTATGCCACTTGTGATACATTTACTCCACAATACTTTTGTCCAAGGGCATTTCGTCTTTTTCTTTTTTATGTATTTTTTTCCTTTTTTTTTTCTTTCTTCCCTCTGCGGTCGACGAGGGGCAAGGGCAGCCCTCGCTTAAGTCGGGCAAGAGCGACCCTCGCTTGACGCCGGCGAGGGCCACCCTCGCCGGCTTCCCTCCGCCGTGGCCAGTAGATGGGAAGAGAGAAGAAAGGAAAAAGACGAAAATGCCACTGGGCAAAAGTATTGTGGGGTAAATGTATCACAAGTGGCATAGTTTAGAGTTTTTTGTGATATTTTTCCTATATTAAAATAATCATCTTTCTTTAATGATCTTATGTGATTGCTTTGCTTGTGGATGAATGCACGCGGGCGGACACACCATTGGAAAAGGCCAGTGCCACCCTTTTCATCAACAGGTTCTACAACTTCACCGGAAAGGGCAACGCCGACCCCCACCCTCGACTCCACCTACGCCGCCTTCTTGAAGGGCAAGTGCAGCCCCACCGGCACGGCAACCGCTGTGGCCATGGACCCCGGTAGCTCCCGGAGCTTCGACATGCACTGCTACACCATCCTATTCAGAACACGGCCCTTTTCCAATCCGATGCCGCTCTCTTTGACCAACAAGTGGGCCACCAAATTCGCGTCCGAATTTCTCGACTCCAACAAGCTCGTAACCTGAGTTTGCACGGTCGATGAAGTGGATGGGCACCGTCGGAGTCCCCGCGGAGGGCGCTGGAGAACTTTTAATTAATAGATTGTAGCAAGATCAATTAGTTTCCATGGTTTCTTTTGGATTATATAATGTCAATGGTGTTTTATTAGACTAGAGAGGTCTTGAATTTCGTTTGCATTTTTCATTGCAAGATGTATGAAAGGAATAGTATTTGTAAGATTGCACTCTTGACTCAATTTTTGGCCATATGTTGATAACAATAGCCTGTATTCTTTATTATTGTCAATGTCTCCATAAAAGTCTTAAAATTTGTCACTGTAATGCATTCAAGTCCTACAATTTGTACTTTCCATTGGATCCCAACACGTACACTGAAAATGCAATGGTGAGATTTTGTTGATTCCGCAAATTTTGTAATAGGTGAGAAAATTTACGTGACATTTTCTATATTTTTCATTGAATTTGTCCCCAAGTTGACGGCATACTAGTATTGAAATTAAAGAAATGTATCAAAAAGAAAACCTTTAAAAGAGGTCAAAAAGAGATCACAAGGTGGATAAGGGCAGTTGCGCCGCCCCTCGCCTCTGGCGGGGTCTCCAAGAGGGTCGTGGCCCTAATCGTTAGCAAGCAAGGACCTACTATTTCGAGTGTAAATTTTACGGTTCATCATCGTAACGAATTTTAGGACTCTTATAAGGCATGGTGCGGTGACTAACTCGAGTTTAATTTCTCGAGAGAATTTGATGAGTGGTTTGTTAATTTTATTTCACCCTCTTTTGATTATTCAAACTCATGCAAAATAAAAAAGTTTTGACATCTTATACCACACAATGACATTCCCGCCCATTGCTGTGGGTCAGCAAATTATATTTTCTTGAAAATCTTTGAAATTGAGTAAAATGAAATTCAAAACCACGTAATATTCCGACGTGGATTTTGTTAAGGGTCTTTTTATTTTCTTCCCCTCATTGTTGAAAGTACTCACATCGCCCCCAATGAAATTACTAAATTTGTTGTATACTCCCGACCAAAAAAAAATAATTTGTTTTATAGGCATAAATTTTTTTCTTTCCTTAGTTCAAAGCCCTCGTGACAACATATAATCGCATTCTGAGACATAATAAGACCACCATTGGCTATCATGAAAAGTTCCATATCGGTGCTCCATAACATTTTTACTCCAAAATTGGATTTCGTTTCATCAAAAATCCAATTTTAAGTATCACAAAATTTTTCGCGAGACGATAATTAAAACAGGGAAATGCATAGTGGGTAGTTCGAGAATTTCAATGACATTGACCCCAAAATTTAATGTCGAGCCTCCTAAAATTAAATTATATAAAGTTTGGATGGGGTAACCTACAAATTTAAAAGAATTGCGAGTTATTGCATCACGGTATCAAAATTTGGAGGGATAATTTGTAATTTTTTTAAAGTAATGGATTGGTGTGCAATAATGTCAAAGTTAAGGGGGTTGGAGACAATTATTACAGTAAGTAATATGTTTTTTTGTCAAAAAGTAAATAATTTTTTGGGAAAAGGAATTAAAATTCGGGGAGAGCAAAAAAGGGATAAGTTCGTTTCTTACACTAAATGTGCAATTAAGTCAAAAAATTTAAAAAAAGTGTAATTAAGTCGTGAAAATTGTCACGAAAGTGAAATTGAATTTTAAAACTTTCAAAGGTATAATCGAGTCTTAAAACTTATCAAATTAATCTAATAAAGTCTTTCTGATTATTACACTATTTAAAATTTTTACTATTTAATTATATTTTCATAACAAGTTTTATGATTTGATTGTACTTTTTGAAATTTTTAGAACTCAATTATACTTTTGTTATAAATTTTGAGATTTTTAATACACTTATCTTGAAAGAATAAAAAAGAAAAGAAGAAAGCCAACCGGTAACAGTAACATCGGTTCTTTTCTTCTTCCCCTTCCTCAAGAAATCCCCCCCCCCCCCCAAAGAACACTCTCCCACTCTTCAAGATTCCCCAAGAAATCCTCCAATCTCACCGCCACCGCCACCGCCACCACCATCTTCCCCAGTAGCTCCGCCGCACGATCATCTCTCACCGCCACTTGCAATCCACAAGAACCTCCCCCATCTCTGTAATCCACAGGCACCCACGCACGCACGGGAGTGATGTTGCTTCGAATCCGTTCCAGAGACGGCCTGGAGCGTCTCAAGGTGGACGACCCGCAGGCCACCGTCGCCCACCTCAAGTCCCTGATCCAATCCCACCTCCAGATCCCCGTCCAGACCCAGACCCTCTCCACCAACCAGAACCTCCTCCTCGCCAAGACCCGCGACGATCTCGCCCAGTTCACCGACATGTCCGCCCCCCACGCCCCGCTGTCCTCCCTCGGCATCGCCCACGGCTCCATCGTCTTCGTCCACTACGACGGCGAGCGCAGCGTCTCCCGCCCCGCCGCCTTCTGCCCCGCCGGCTCCTTCGGCCGCAAGATGACCATGGACGACCTGATCGCCCGGCAGATGCGGGTCTCCCGCCAGGAGTCCCCACACTGCGAGCTCGTCTCGTTCGACCGCGACGCCGCCAACGCGTTCCAGCACTACGTCAACGAGACCCTCGCCTTCGCGGCGAAGCGGGGCGGGTTCATGTACGGGACGGTGTCCGAGGAGGGGAAGGTCGAGGTGGACTTCATCTACGAGCCGCCGCAGCAGGGGACGGAGGAGAACTTGCTGTTCCTCAGGGACCCGGATGAGGAGAGGCTGGTGGAGGCCATCGCCGTCGGGCTGGGGATGAGGAGGGTCGGGTTTATCTTCAGCCAGACCGTGAGTCAGGACAAGAAGGATTACACTTTGTCGAATCGGGAGGTCTTGCAGGCGGTGGGGTATCACGCGGAGAGCGGGCTGAAGGAGTGGGTGACCGCCTTAGTGAAGCTGGAGGTGAACGAGGATGGTGGGGCTGATGTCCATTTTGAGGCTTTTCAGATGAGTGACATGTGCATTAGGCTGTGGAAGGAAGGGTGGTTCGAGACCGAGATCGGTGAGGACGCCGATCCGAAGCTCTCGAGGATGAAGAAGGATGTGATGGTGGGAGTCAAGGATACTAGGGAGGTGGATAACGATTTCTTCTTGGTGGTTGTCAAGATTTCCGATCATCAGGTTTGTTTGCATGCCATGTGTTTCTCTTTTACTTTGATAGAACTTACCATAAAGGCTGTGTTACTATTGCTGTTGTTGCTTTTGGCGGTTTATAGAGGGTCTCTGTGTGCAAGAATTGCTATTTTGTTTGGTATAGATACTCCCAAAGACATTAGAATTTGTCGATCGGGTAGTTGGATATACTGCTGTACATGGTGCTAATCATGTTTTGATAGGAAGGGACTGTTGCCAAGTTCGTGTGATCCAGCCACCAGGCATGTACATTTGTGCAAGTTTCTTTGGTGATTTTGATTACAATAAAGTGAACTTGGAATGTTTATGATATCATCATTTGGTGCTGGAGGAGGAAAGATAAAGTTCCTCTGTGTAGAAAAAGCACAAGCTGAATTAGAAAAAGGAAGAGATTATATGCTTGTGGCTTCCTTGATTGGTTATATTTTCTAATAAGTCTGTATCTTTATCACATCATATTCCTGGGATGAGGGGAAGTGATGACAAGACCGCAGCTGGTCTGGCACTAGCATGAATGGATAAGATCTGTTCTAGAGAGCATTGCGAAGATTTAGAAACGGCAAATGAGACAGGATTTTCCGATATCATCTAGTTCTCCAAATACCGTTTTTCTCTTGAGCTGACCACTTCCTATGGAAAAATAGATTGAATGAATAAATGCCAGACAGTTTAGTTGGGCAGTGAGGAGGTGCTCACCTCCAAATGGGTTTGGGTTGAGAATATATGAGGCCCGAGTTACGAAGAAGCCTCATGAAGGAGTCTCTTGGTAATAGACATTGCTTCTCTCATCATCTGTATGGAATACATGGGGTTGTCAATTGTCTCATAAAGATTTTGAGACGTCTTCTGGCATTTGAGATGATTGAAATTAGTAATTGGTAGTCGAATGTAGGGTAGGTGATAGAAGTCCATATGCAAGACTACATCAAATGGAGTACATGTGGCTGAATAAGTTACATGCAAATGTGTCACATCCAAAGTGAGTCACTTTGTGTCATGCTTCTGGCTACTGACCTTTGGTTGCTAAGTTTTCTTATGGAGGGAAATGCTGGATGCAGTTTTCGAGAATCATGTTTGGTCCAGTTACCGTGTCATTCCATGAAATTGTTTCAGTCATACTTGTCAAACTTTGATACCTTTACTTTTGTACGAAAACACTTGCAGTTGCCTTGCTTGGCATGTTTATTTTAGAAGATTGAATCTTTTGTGATGGTGTGCCCTGTGTTGACATGAGATGAGAATGGCATAATTTCGCCTAGACATGTTGACTTGATTTTTGGTATCTAAGATTGTCAAACAATAACAAGATTGCAGTGATGTTTGTGAACGGAATAGAGCATTCTTAATGCATATAAGGTTTGATCTGGATGGATATACAGTTCCACTCAGTTGTATTGGTAAGGGTTTTGTGGGAATTTCCTTCTTATGTATCTTGGTTAAGCTGGTCCTGCAACAGGCTAGATCAAAATGATTAAGTAGGACTATGAGTTCACAAAGAAAGTAAAGGAGGATGCATTCCTTTGATTCTTTAAAGGTTGTAATTTGGGATGCTGTCCTATCGATTCTTAAGCCACTTGACAGTTAGTGATGTACATGTCATGCTCCCGATTGCAAGCTTGGAACTGAGTGCATATTCCATACCGTATTTAGTCCATCCATGGTACCACCAAGCATGATAGGCTATAGTTTAAGGCTTCTAACACTTTCCGAGTGGTCATGTGTTTGAATTCTCTTGCGATACTGGTTGCCAGGGCCACCAACCCCTTTGGAGAGAGTAATAAGCAGCACTTTGCTGGCATGAGAAATCTCTTTGATGCCATCTTGTGTGAGCTGAACATTTGAAATGCAGTGTATTTCGCTCAATCTTGGTGAATGTCACTTGGTCTTTATTAATAACATGTTTAAAGATTCTAAAACAATGGTTTCTGGTACTTGGACCAATTTGACGTTCTTCTTCAACAGTAAGTTATTTTTGCTTTAATGGCATTGTTGGTTACTCCCGCTTTGAGAGTTCTCATTTTTGCGCAAATACAAGAAAGTGCTGGCACAGGTGAACTTGCATATATAGAAACTTGAGAGCGGGGATCCCAAATTTCTAATCTTGATCGAGTTTGAAGTTAAAATGATCTTAGCTTTTTACCTCTTTTTCATCTGAAGAGTCTCTTAGATGGTAGGAAGTCCTTGTATTAATGGACCGTATCATAGTTGAATTTGGGAGATTGTACTTCATGCGGGTAAATTACACTGGAGGTGACTCAACTTTTAACTTTCAAACAAGCCTCTCTGCATTCAACATTTTACTTATGGGTTGCTCCAGATTGTGGAGTCGCTCCAGTGACCGGCCGAAGAACACATTGCTGGATCAATTTCTGCTGTTTTTATTTTCCTGCAATAGCACGAGTGAATCGATCTGCCACAATCCTTATCCTGAAATTTGTTTTACTATGCAGGGTCCACTTTCATCAACATTTCCTGTTGAGAACCGGAATGTTCCCGTGACAACCAGGGCGCTGAAGAATCATCTGGACCGCACAAAATCTCTTCCATTCGTGAAGCGGATATCAGACTTCCATTTGCTTCTTCTACTCGCCAGATTCTTGGACATAAGTGCCGATGTCCCTGCTCTGGCGGAGTGCGTGAGCAAACAGGGAACTGTTCCAGATGGCTATAAGCTACTCATCGAGTCCGTGGCCAGCAGTTCGTGATGCCCGTGATCGTGTGCATTTTCAACAGAGCAATTACTGCATCAGCAGTTAATCTGAAAGTTCCTCTTTCATCTTCTGATGCAATGCATGGCCGAAACTGTAAAATGTCTCCGATTTGAAAAGTTCTTTCTAGGTCGAAGAACAGGTAAAATGCACTCGCTGTTTATATGCATCCTTGGTACAAGTTTTGCATCAAACTAAATGGTTCGATTTGTGCGTCGATTTAAAGGGAGCAAGGAAGTGGCGTTTAGTGATTTGATTTGTTTATTCGGATCACAAGTATCGCAAAACATGAAAATGTTGCTGTGGCAATCTTTTCCTGGTGGATCAAACCGAGGTTGCTTGACCCCAGCAAACGGGCACTTGTTTGCCCGAACTCAATAACAGGGTAGCGAGGGAAACTCAAGACTGGCGATGATGAATGAGCAGGTCTTCATATTCTCTGTATTGGGATGAGATATGATAATTTGGAAACGTGGGCATGACGAAACTTATGCGACCTCGTGCGTGCGCTAATGCTATTTCCGTCGGGAATCGCCAATTTATCGAGACACCATGAGAGTGAGAGAGCTTACATTGTCATATCGCCGTTAAGCCGGTGGTCATTCGTGACGGACCAGCGAAGTCACTTGGACAAAGTTTGATCATCTTTGCAGAGTTCCTGCTTGCTTCGTCCGGTCAATCAATTGCTACCATGCTCTCTTGCAACTTTAAAACACAGCATCATTAAATTTAGAGGAAATGGGATCAGTCATTAAGTACGATGGATCGACTAGTTAATGCCAGTCCTACCTAAGGAAGTCTTCATGCTCTTGCGTTCCGTGATGAGCATTTGAAAACGACATGGCTCCGAGGCCGAGAGATGTAATTAAACATATAGAGCAAAAAGAATTTTGAAGAACGAGTTTATTCCGAAAATTGATCAAGTTGCGGTTAATCCGTCTAAGAAATTGCCTGTTTCAAAGCCTTCAAAGGCCTTGTGCAGAATTAACATACGTCGCGTACCGTTAGTGATAGACGTGCTCTTCTATTCTCACTTCTTCTCCGGAGTGGACATATATTTCGCGAATTTTACGAACGGAGAGGCCCTTATTTTCATAGTTGTCGTCGTTCCTTAAACGCATTATCTAGCTAACCCACCAGTGTCGATCTTATAATTCGATAGGCCTGCCCCTAAATGTCGAGTCAAACTGGTAGTTGGTCAGATCTAGTTAACTTAATTCATGGTAAAACCCGATTACCTTCCAATTTGTGCCGTGATACGCCAACTGTTAAAAATCATTAGCGAATAAAACGAAGGTCATAAGCCCAACGACGTAAAATCATATCATTTGGCGGGACACTTTCAGCAGAGCGCATCTCTCTCTCTCTCTCTCTCTGGTCTAGGGCACTGTAATTCCCAACTTCCGCGATCGGAGCTCCTCCTTCTCTGCAACCAAATCCATGGAGGAAGCTGAAACCTCTACTCGCCGTTCCGTGAGTCTCTCTCTCTCTCTCTCTCTCTCTCTCTTTCTCTTTCTGCGCGTTTCTGGTGTTCAGTGTGCCTGGTTCTTGTGCGCTGACGCCGCGAAATCGGTGCGCCCGAGTTCGCAGAAGAGGACGAGGGCTCAGACACAGGCCGCCGCCGCCGCCGCCGCCGTCACGGGAGCGGAGAATCGCGAGAAAGCTGTCGACGAGGCCGGTCGCAGTCCCGAGAGGGAGGAATCTCCCGGCGACTTTCAAGAGCTCCATCCTCAGCCCAAGCGGAACCGGACTGCGGAACCCGCCGACCCGAAAGCTAACCAGAGCTTAATTGGTGATTTTACTATTACAACTCTTCGTGCTTTCTGATATCCGACGGTTTACCGGTGCACCTGGCCGTCCTTCTCCACGTGATTAGTGCGTAATAGAGTGGTTTGAGCACAGTTTGTTTTGATCTGTCTGCCACATATCTGCTATAGTATGGAGTACCTATACAGAGATTTATTACTCTGTGTTTTTTTTGGGGTCAATTAGCTTGTTGGGTTGAATGTGAATATATATGGTTGAATTTGGTTCGCACGGTTTGTCGCAACAAGGTGCTTTCTTGCGTATTTTGCTTCGATCCAGTGAGCGTTTTCAAGAATGAATTCCTCTGTCGGAATAGGTTATGCGCTTGATCGGTTGACTTCATGTAACTGTGATATCTTTGCAGAGGTTATCAAAGGCAATGGCAGACATATACCTCAAGTGGTTAAGCTTTGGGTTGAGAGATATGAAAAGAATCCTAAACCTGCAATGGTTGAAATTCTAACCATGTTATTTGAGGTAATTTAGTCCGTTATGTGAATGTATCCCTTTGAAATGTCCAAAGAACCAAAAAAAAAAAAGAATAATTTGAATGACCTGAGCCAGTTGAAGGACAATTCTTTCTGCTGACATCCCTAATCATTTTAGACCAACAAGTTTTCTTATCAGTTCCTAGAACTTTATCCTGTAGGAAAGGTAGACAACTAGGTTTTACCTAATATTCTCGTATCAGCTGCGATTCTCATTGAACTGGCAATTCTTCAGGCTTGTGGTGCTCAATACTATCTTAAGGAAGAGTTTCTTGATGAGACTGATGTGGATGATGTGGTGGTTGCTCTTGTCTCTCTAGCTAAGCAGGTATGACGCATATGTTTCTTTAGTGCATCTTAACATCCTGCGTTTATTTGCTTCCACCCCCCCGCGCTAAACTATGCTCTGCCTTTTCTTGTTGCTTAAGCACTTTCCCTGTTACAATCTATGTTAGAGAGTGCTCTTAGCATTTTTTATGCTTTTATATTTAGGGGGAAGTTGAAGATTACCAAAACTCAAAAAGAAAGGAGTTTAAAAACTTCCAAGATAATTTGCTCACCTTTTGGAACAATCTGGTTAGCGAGTGTCAAAATGGCCCTCTGTTTGATCAAGTCTTGTTTGACAAGTGCATGGACTATATCATTGCCCTGTCATGGTAAGTGGTCTATCCTTGTGGAAGTTTATATTGCAAAAAGTTCTAGGCACTTATATTAGTTGGTCTTCATGCTGAGCAGCACTCCTCCACGAGTTTACCGTCAAGTTGCCTCCTTGATGGGCCTCCAACTTGTGACATCCTTTATTACTGTTGCCAAAGCACTTGGTGCACAAAGAGAAACTACTCAGAGGCAGTTAAATGCTGAAAAGAAGAAACGAACTGACGGTCCTCGTTTGGAGTCACTGAATAAAAGATTATCAGCAACTCACGAAAAGATAACAATGATAGAGGAGATGATGCGCAAAATTTTCACTGGGTGCGTTTCTTTTGCTAAAAAGAATTTCTCCTTGCAAAGCTATCCTGAGTATCCTAATGTATATGCGTGTTGATCTTGAAGCTTATTTGTGCACCGCTATCGAGACATTGATCCCAATATTCGGATGTCATGCATAGAATCGCTCGGTGTATGGATTTTGTTGTATCCATCACTGTTCTTACAGGATTTGTATTTGAAGTATCTTGGATGGACTCTGAATGATAAGGTAAATGGAAATGTTACCTTGTTTATGGATCAAAGTTGGCTCTGCTTTCTCTTTTGGTGTTTTCTAGACTGAACACGGTAATCGTATCTTATTGCACCTGAAGAATGCCGGGGTCAGGAAAGCATCTGTAATTGCTTTGCAAAATCTGTATGAGGTGGATGATAACGTGCCAACTCTGGGCTTATTTACTGAAAGATTTTCCAATCGGATGATTGAGCTTGCTGATGACATTGACGTATCTGTGGCTGTATGTGGCATAGGACTTCTGAAACAGTTGTTAAGGTAATTCAGTTGAAGCCTTTTCTCTGGAAAATCATCTGCATCCGAGTGTTTTGTTGTGTATTTGTGGTTTAGGGTTTTAGTCACTCAGTGTGTACTTACATCTACTAATTGTTTACTCAAAGCCCTTTTACTTGGATGAATGATTCCTTTGCAGGCATCAGTTGTTGCCCGACGATGACTTGGGTCCTTTGTATGATCTGCTCATTGATGAACCGCCAGAAATCAGACATGCAATAGGAGCATTAGTTTATGATCACCTTATTGCTCAAAAATTTAATTCCCAATCAGGATCCAAAGGTCGTACATCTTTCTGGGCTGCATCTTAGTTTGTTCACATAAAGATTCCGCAATAAGATGCTTATATAATATTAAACATATGTGCAGGCAGTGACGACACATCTGAGGTCCATCTTGGCAGAATGTTACAAATACTGAGGGAGTTTTCAACTGATCCAATTCTAATTATCTATGTCATCGACGATGTCTGGGAGTACATGAAAGCCATGAAGGTGCAAGTCGTTCAACTTCTGCTGTTGCATATGCAAGTTAAAGGATTTATATTTACATGCTATATTTAGATGAATGATAGAGATAGAAACTTCCATCTAGCTCTGGTAGTATGTAATGTTGTAAGCCCTCGTTGGTGCTACAAGTAGTTGAAGGTATACGTCCTTTTTATTAAGGTGAATGTGCCAGCACATGTGATGACCATCTTTATCAAATGATCCTCCATTGCCAGCAATAACCTGGTCATCATTCACATTTTTGCTTTTAAGTTTGTCACTAATGGTGTCAGAAATTACTGAAGGAAATTTGTTAGAGCAAAAGGCAAATTTAACTTTTCTGCTTGAACAGTCTCAGTAATTTTCTAATGAATATCTTTTTGCAGCTGGAAAAAGAATTAATTGCATATGTGCCTTATGTACATATTTCTGTCAGGTAGTCAATTGTGCCTCCTTTTTACGAAGATTACGGGAAACTAGATACTAAATCATTGATGCAGCTTGTGTTAAGAAATTTTGGTGTATGGTACGTTGGTTGAGGGGCTTACTACAAATCTATATTCTTCAGTTGTGGAATTGGCTTTGGCTATCAAGAAAAAGTGAGCAAAATTTTCACTATTTTATTCTTAGTAGTAGTTATTAAGGATTTATCCCAACGTCCCCTTAAGGATGCGTGATTATGGGCTTCTTTTAATCCTTCTTTTCGGTCCTTATTTTGTTGGATTAGTACTGTCTGGTTATTCGCTTGATCCGCTAAGTTCTAACTTGGAACTTAATCATTAACTTCTATAACTCAAATTTTTTTAAGAGAAGAGTTATATTATAGAAAACTAAAATGTGCTTCTTACAGCAATTAATCTAGTGGGAATTGTTTCTTCATTAAAATAGCCTGTTATCTTTGCAGGACTGGAAGTGTATCATCTCCATGCTGCTGGATGAGAATCCAGTGATTGAGCTAAGTGATGAGGATGGGACGAACCTAGTGCGGCTTCTTTCTGCTTCTGTTAAGAAAGCTGTGGGGGAGAGGATTGTTCCAGCTACTGACAATCGGAAGCAATATTACAATAAAGCACATAAGGTGCATCCTTTCTGTACTGATTGTGTTATTATGATGCTGCTCAAACTTCTTTGGATGGTTTTTTATTCATCAGTCAAGTGATCTCCTCTATTTTATAGGTCTGATTGTGTCTGAGGGAAAGCTAAGTTTTAAGATCAGCAGTTGGCATATGGCATAAGTTAATATTTTCCACTGAATTTTGATCAATTGATCAGATTTCATTTTGTTATTTGTATATATTCTTTCAAGATAACTGGCTTTTGAATCTGTTAATACATACTATGTAGAATATTTATTTGAGCTTTGGTTGTCTTGTTCTTGCCTTTTAAGTCAAGGAGCTTCTCTTCATCGTATGGTGCTTGCTGCTATAAATGAATATTTTCTGTGCAATTATAGGAATCATTTGAAAACAACCGAAGGGACATAACCGTTGCTATGATGAAGAGCTATCCCCAGCTCCTGCGGAAGTTTATGGCTGACAAGGCAAAAATACCATCTCTTATTGAAATTATAGTTCACATGAAACTGGAGCTCTATTCTTTGAAGAGACAGGAGCAGGTGTGTTTCAAAATCTTGTACTGAGTATCCAATACTAAAAAGCATGGGCATTTATCTCTTTGCAACTTTTCAGAGCTTCAAATCCATTCTTAAACTTGTTAAAGAGGCTTTTTTCAAGCATGGTGAGAAGGATGCATTGAGGTCTTGTGTCAAGGCAATGAATTACTGCTCTGCTGAAAGTCAAGGGGAGCTGCAAGATTTTGCACGTAATCAGTTAAAAGAACTAGAAGATGAACTTATTGCAAAGGTCAAATCTGCAATAAAAGAAGTAGAGGTACATATATATTGGACTCTTCGTCTCTGTCTCTGTCTCCTTTCTCTCTCTCTCTCTCTCTCTCTCTCTGGTCAAACAGGTTATGTGTTTGAGCCTGCAGGATGGTGATGACGAGTACTCTCTTTTGGTAAACTTGAAAAGGCTTTATGAGCTTCAGCTATCGAGGGCTGTATCTGTTGGAAGCCTATATGAAGATTTTGTGAGGATCCTTAGGAGTCTCAGAAGTAGTAATGCTGAGGTAAGTTGATATTGCATGGAATGTTGTGGTTTCTTGTCTCCGTTCTTGTGAAATTGGCAAATTGGGTGTGACTTCAAGTATTATAGAAGCGAGAAGGTTAGCATCACTTTGCTATGCGAGTTCATATGCATTGGATCCTTGCAGCAACTTCCCCATCTTTAATTATAGTGTATACAAGGTTGTTCAATTGATGGGTGGTTTTTATTATGTCCATCCCAAGATTTCTCTTCCTATTCTTCCCTAATCTGACTGCTCTATCACGTCTCAATTAACTTGTTGCTCATTTCTTTCAGGTTGTCAGTCTTTTGCTTCTGAACATGTATTTGCATATGGCATGGTCTCTACATTCGATCGTGAGTAGTGAAACTGTGTCTAGAGATTCGGTGACCTCTCTGTTACGCACGCGTAATGTCTTGTTTGAGCAGCTGGAATACTTCTTGAACACTCCATCGGCAGATGGGGAGGTAGGCAAACTAGGAAATCAGCTGGCTTGCCGAGTAAGTTCTCCCTCTTATGTGTTTTTTGATTTTGTTGGCATCTGGCTATTAAACAATGTGCTGAACTCGTTATCTCTGACAAAATTTCTATGCTTTAGGTATGCACCATACTTGCAGAATCATGGTTCCTCTTCAGGAAGACCAATTTTTCTTCAACAAACTTGGAAAATTTAGGATACTCTCCAGATGCTTCCCTTTGTCAGAAGTTTTGGAAACTTTGTGAACAGCAGCTTGACATTACAGGTAGTCCTTTTGTCAAGAATTATGAAGTTATAAAGCCTCTAGCTCATTTTGTCACTTTAATCACTAATTAGCATAATATCCATGTACCATATGTTATGATATTCAAGCATTCCTTCGTTCGTGGGATAAGTGATCATTTGCCAATCGTCTGATGAATTTTGTTCTTCTGTTGCTGACTAGTAGATATTATGTGCATGGTGATGTTGTTATGTTGCTTCAGTATAGTGTTAATATCATATTAATTATTTTTAGGGGCTTGTCTGCTTATAGTTGAGATCTGCCTCGTTTATTCTTAACAAAAAGGTGTCGGCTCAAGATATAGTCATATCGCATGACCAAAGTCGAAGATCTTCGAGTTCATTATGGTTAAGACAGTATCACTCAATATGGCTGCATTTTTATAGTTCGATACAATAAAAAATGCTGCTAACCGCAGCAGTGGTCGTGGCAGATGTTCTAGAGTGAACTAAGGCCTTGTTGGGGAGACAGGAAGGGGGAAGGGGGAAAGGGGAAAGAAAATTTGGATGGAAAGTGCCTTTTTAAATGTTTGGGAAATGAAAGAAAAAGAAATTGAAGGGATATATCTCTCCAGTTTGGGGACCGCATAACATAATTTCTCCAATTTGGGGAGAAAGGAGAGAATTAGTAAAACTATTGTTCACCTTTCATAACAGCTTCTGTTCAGCTTTCATAACAGCATTTTCATCATTGCTCAAGGGATAAATTTCTCTCATGCAAATCTATATTTGACATTCACTTTCTTTTCATCTCTTTCCCTTTCATCAGAACATAATACAAGGAAAATTTCTGTTTGCCTTCATTCTCAATTCCATATTCATTGTACTTATTTTCATTCGTTACTTTTTTCCCAAACAAAGTATAAAGTAACACTGCTGCTGTTTATTTTAGCACCCTTGTAGGCCACTCGCAGTGTTAACACTGACATGGGTGGCAGTACAAAACTGTATTTGATTTAGTTTTACAGTTTTTATTTCTGCAGTACCCCTTGTTTTATGCTTCAGTTACTGAGTTGGACCAAAAAGAAGATAAGTTATGCCATTGAGTATGTTAATTGCATCGTCAGCCTCAAGAGCTTCTCTTTTAGACTGATGATATCTGGTGTGAAAGGTTACAGAAGTAGATGCTTGACGGTTGGTTTTCTGGATTGGTAGGGAAGAACAATGATATCCAAAAAATATAGTTCGAAGATGTTATTAACCCATATGCAATGAAGTTGAACAGTCTAATCACTTTTCAAATCCTATTCTCATTATGAGGCAGTTTTGCCCTTTTAGGTTGAGTTCAGTAGGTTCATTGACGGTTGACTAGAGTTCTAGTGGACATTTGCTCTCTTGTTTAATTGACTGTTGGTTATAGAGATCGAGTCCTTCAAAGACCTTCTATTACTGTGTACTCATTTCATCAAAAAGATGGTCAACTCATTTTACATCACAAGACTGGCTTATGCAAACAATGATAAAGGTCAGCAAGGACTGGGTTTGCTTAAGATCCACTATTGCCATAGAAGTCATTTGTTGCCTTGTGTAGTAAGGTGGTTCATGGATATAATTATAGTCAAGGATCTTGGTCCAAAAGTTCCAAAGAATGCTTCAGTGGATATGACATGTAGATGGGCCGCTTTCTCAGTAGGTATTGCGTTTCCTTCCTCTCCAGGAAAACGACTATATCCAGAAAATGAAATTTTGCCAGGATCTGATTGCAATTTGCAATACCGCGGTAACTGTTACTGAGTTTGTTCGAAGGGACTTTTACTTTTGATCTTCCAGCTTTATATAACAGAAAACACTTGAAACCTTTCAAATAGATAATATATATATGTAGAATTAAGCATAATACTTTTATAATTATTAAACTTCAAACATCTCGTTTCCTTTTTCAATTTTTTTTAGGAAAAGTAAAATGGTAGGAAAAGTTTTTTTTTAGTGTTTGACAAATAGCCTATTAAGTTCTATAGCTCCTTTTTCTTTCTTAGTACATGTGCGGCTTACATCTGAGAGAATTAATCCTCGATGGAGGTGGGGCCCGTCTCAGATCCGTGTTACAAGTCATCTGAAGACTTCACTAATTAAGTTAGATAGCATTTGGCACTGGCAGCTACAATAGTATGTTTTGTATGTGGATGTCTTCCCCTGTACATAGAAATTTCTCTCTGGTTTCCATTTTCTTTATAATCTTCCCTGGACTTACTCGGCAATTATTATTACCTGGCTACTTCTGAAGAGAATGAAATGAGCTGTTTGTCAAGGTTCAAGTCTCATGCTGTAAATTTTTCACGTTCGCATATTCTTCTGGTGTGCCACGCAGATGAGACAGAAGATGAAGATGTGGATAATGAATATGTGGAGGAGACAAATAGAGATGCAGTCATAATTGCTGCAGCAAAATTGGTAGCAAGTGATACAGTGTCCAAGGTGGGTTTGAATCTTGTGTTTATGAATAACTCAGACTCTCTTTTATCTGGAGTGGAAAGTAAAAGGCTCATTTTTTCTTATGATGTGCAGTACTGGCTTCAAATCTTGGTCATCTTTCTTACTTCAGTACTTTTTCCTTTTATGCTGTTGTGATGTGCATGGTATTTCTGGTTCAAGCAGGATGATCTTGGTTCAGATATAATTTCTCATTATGTCATGCACGGGACGGGTGTAGCCGAAATTATCAAACATCTGATAACTGTTTTGAGGAAAAAAGATGATGATCTCTCTACAACATTCCTTGAGGCACTGAAAAAGGTCAGGTCTTATCCATTTGCATAAAGGAAATCTGGAACATGCTTTACAGTAGGGACGCGTCTTCATGATCAATTTTGACTATCATCAATAGACATTAATGTAATGCTCTAGTCTAAAATGTCCAGGCTTTTCAGCGGCATATGCGGGAACTTTCCAGAGGTAGTGATGAATCAGTCACGGGGAAGTCTTTGCAAGAATGTAGGGATCTTGCTGTTCGGCTTTCTAGTATGTTTGTTGGTGCAGCGAGGAACAAGCACAGACCGGAAATATTAAAAATTGTCAAGGATGGTATTGAATATGCATTTCTGGATGCTCCCAAGTATCTGTCTTTCTTGGAGTATTCTGTGCTCCACTTCGTATCTAAACTTCCTGCACCTGATATCATGGATGTGTAAGACTTCCTTTCCTAACATAGTTCTCACGAGAATAATTTGATGCTTTTTCCAACCTTTCAAAATGGGATAATACCTCATCTTTTGGATGTAGTATTAAGGATGTACAGAATAGGACTGAGGGTGTGAACACGGAAGAAAATCCCAGTGGATGGCGGCCATATCACATTTTCCTTGAGATCCTACATGAGAAGTATGCAAAGAATGAAGGCCTTCCAGGTACATGTATATATGGCTACATTGTCATTTGCAGTTCCATATGTGAAATTTAAGGGGTTTTTAGTACCTTCGGGCATTATAGGGAAAAGAGAGAATTTGGTGGTTTACGCATTAGATTGTGGCATCTGTTTTAGTGGCACTATTGTTTTGGTATAAAGGGCCAGAAACATGAATGGTTCAAGTTGCTTTTCAATGTGTATAAACTATTTTTACAATCTTTTGCTGTAGCTATGCTAGGAATTGCCAGAGGCATCCTAGTGCTCCCTCTACGACAAATGTGTGCTTCCTTGTTTTTCAGTATCCCTTTCATCATTTTCTACCCCCCTTGAGCATATGTATATGTCATGCTACTTATGGTGCCTTAGACCTTGCTTAGGAGAAGTTTCGTGCATGGGTGTTGTTAGAATAATTAATTATTAAACCACGCCTTCATCTAACAGCTTAAGCTTTTAGAACAGTTGGCAGTGGTCCCATAAAATCTCACATGGTATCAGAGCAGGAGGTCCTGAGTTCAAATCTTCCCAGGCCCCATTTGCCTCCCCAATTAAATATGTCAACGCTTAGTACTAGGCAAAAAGACCAAACTAAGCGTGAGGGGGAGTGTTAGAATAATTAATTATTAAACCACGCCTTCATCTAATAGCTTAAGCTTTTAGAACAGTTGGCAGTGGTCCCATAAAATCTCACATAAAATCTCACAGGTGTTATGCTGTTTCCTTGTATTATTTGTTGTTATGGCTTCAAAATGTCTGGTCAGTTGCTGTGCACTCTTGAAGCATCTTGGATCATACAATGGCAGCATAGCCGTGGTTGAATGAAAATAATAGTTGGGGCCTAGGTTTGAAACAATTGCAAAATCTTTTTCTCCAGTCTAATTCTTCACCTTCTGGGTAATTGCAGAGGAGAAGGAAGGGGTCTCTGCGAGGCGCCGAGGTCGTCCTCGTAAGCAGCGTAATGTACAGGGTAAGAGGCTGTTTGATGGGCACAGTTCAGGTGAGGAAGAGGATTCAATTGGTTCGTCTGATCAAGAAGATGGTCGAGACGAAAAGCAGGACGAAGATGAAGATGACGAGGCTCCTCTGATAAATGCAATAAGGTCATCCTCCAAGCTGAGGTCATTAAGGGTTTCAAGAGACGATAGCAGAAGCCAGAGTAGGCTGCGAAATTCCAGTAGGGTTCCAGATGAGTCAACAGCATCTAGAGTATAAGGTATTGTGTGTGTTGTGTGTGTGTGTGTATTTTCTTACTGTTCAATAGACTGCATTAGTTGTAAATGTATTGACGCACATTCAAGCCTTGGAATTGAGCACTTACATGAGGAACACCAAGATATTTGCATATAAAAGTTCCCTTGGGCCTCGGCCTATCATTCTCTACTCGGTGTATTAAGTAGATGATTGGTTCATCAATTATATTCATCCAATGTGTACGTAACTGGTCATTCGTATGTGCAGGAGCCTCCAACTAAATTAACAGTTGCCACAAGTGCACATCCGATGGTCCAGATGGATGTACTCACTTTTGGAGTTGGATGCTGGCCTCTCCACCTTGTAGATCTTTTCTCATTTTGTTACTCAAAACCTGCTTCATTGTGGCTTAGTAATAGGCTTGAGGCGCGAGATCTTTCCTCTGGGCTCAATCTCTTTTTTTCCCTCGGGGATGCACATGGTGATTGTCGTTGCTTAGGAAGCAGAAAGTGATTGGTGTAAGTAGTTGTTAGGGAAAATCTTGTAAATCTCTCAGATAGTGGAAAAGTACATGTGTTGTGATTTTGTTGATGTGCGAGCCAGTGAGCTTAGCCAAGTTTACAGTATGATGTTTCTACTGAAACCTCATTATCTTTAGCCAAATGACATCGATCTGCATTTTTAGATATGGCAACTCGTATATCCTCCATCAGAGTTCTCAAGACATCGAGGTAACTCTTAATTTTCTAATATTTACCTCGTGTTGTTCCAACTTCATCAGATGTCCCCAAAGAGAGAACTTTTTGATATTTGCCTAATAGTCAGACAGAGGTTGGCTTTGCAATAGCGAAATCCACTCGACACAAGATAATCATTTGTCACAATCTATACTAAATTCTGGGACACGCAAACGATGACCCACTATCAAGAGTGGGACATAGTAAACAATCAACACGAGAACTCATATGAAGTGCTCTCGTGATCGGTCAACGTGAATGCATGGTGCAACCGACGTATAGGCTGCACAGGGACCTGAAGACTATCCTTAGACGAGCAAATAGTATCCTACCATACAATGTAATAAAAAGAAAGCAACTGAGATCAATAGGATTAAAAAGAGTGACTGATGTGAAAAGACGCTTTGCATTTTCTTATCGATTATGCCAGCTTCCGTAATCATATCCACCCTGCAGAACCCACACTGTGTCGCAAGAACTTGGATGGTTCATTCATGCAATCGTCTGAGAGAAGCAATCACTACTGGCATCAAAGGATTAGCAGTTTGCCATGTAATGCTCTATTTCTTCAGGATATGCTAACTAGATATGGAATCACTCGGGGACCTTATTTTTCATCTATAGTGTGGTGACTCATACGAAAAGCAACTTCATAAATCAGCTTAAGCAGGGTCATAGGATCTCTAAGTACAAAGAAAACCTGGCAGATGGATGGACCTAGAGCAACTGCCCTAAGACTCTTAATTTTCATGTTTGAGTCACAAAACTAGTGATATTGCATCGACCTTATATTCTAAAGGGAGAGAATTTGTTTTACTTGAACCTCCAATTACAAAGAAAACCTGGCAGATGGACCTTCAACTCCAACCATCTCCATGTAAAAACATAGGCTTTCCATCAATTTAGTGAAACTAATACATTGCAGCAAAATTTCATCCCTCAAGGGGAAAAAAAGTAAAGAACCAAACACGATTGGGTGGAGTAATCAAAACATTTACCTCATTACATGCAGTATAACTCTATTACTATCTTCTGCCTGCAATCCTTAGCAAAGGAGATACCATACCCTGAATCTCTTGCAACCCCTCTTGTATCCGAATCTCCTCCTCGACTGAGCGCTTGAGGTTCCTAATATGACCCTTCAAGGCATCGGATGCTTTTATATCTTCAAGCCTCAAGTCTATAACCTTCTTCGCCAGCCCCATCAACAAGCTTGAATATCTAGGCATGGTCGAGTTCTTATGCAAGAACATCAAAAGCAGACCCAATTCATCCCTATCCAAGGTCATGACAGATTTTAGCAGTGCCCTCCGAGCCACCAATTCCTCCATCACAGCCACCACCTTTTCGGGATCATTTCCACCTAAAACCGAAACGAGAGCATTCTTATGCCGGAACTTCTTTAAGAGTTTATCGTGCTCAGCCAACTTCACCTTCTTCGGCCTCATAACCAAATAATCTCCCTCGGATGGTTTCTCACTCTGACCTCTGTGGAAGTACCTATGGAATGAGGGCTTCAAGACCCGCCTCTGTGGCTCCTCCACATTGACCAACCCTAAGCTTCCATCGGCGCCACTCTCCGTGTTTTCCTTCCCCTTTCTCTTTCCCACGTACATAATACCATTCGAAGTCCCAATCGCTCTCACATTGCAATCCGGCGAAAGCCCGATCGACAGCAGGGGTGCCGGAAACCTCATCGAATGCGTAACCTTCATTCTCGAATAATCGAACACCTTCATATACCCATCGAGACCAACGCTCAAGATCCTCAGCTCCGTGGCTTCTTCCCCGCCCTGCGTCCCCATTCTACCTACACAAATGGAGGTCACGGTCTTGTTGTGACTCTCCATCGAATAAACCATCTTCCCTCCTCCAATCAAATCCCAAATCTTCACACTATTCCCACCCGCGGTGGCGACCAAAGTACCCGACGGCAAGAAGATCACATCCTGGACGGGCGAGCCGTGATTCACCTCCGTCACCGCCCTATTGCGATCGCTCACCCTCACATCCCAGAGCTTCACCACGTGATCATAAGACCCGGTGACGAAACAATTCGCATCGGCGGGCGAACAATCCCCGCACCTAACGTAGTCCTTATGCCCACGAAGCTCCGAAACCACGCTCTCCCCAGCCACATCCCAATACTTAACGAGGCCATCATCACCCCCGGACACCAAATGGAGCTTATCAAGAACTGGGTACCGGACAAACCTGACGGGCCGGAGGTGGGACTTGAGGCGGCGGAGCGGGGTCCTGGTCCGGACGTCGAAGACGCGGATGAGGCCGGAGAGGTCGGAGGCGGCGAGGAGGGAGCCGTCGGAGCGGAAGGAGAGGGAGGAGACGACGTCGGCGAAGGAGGAGATGGTGTGGGTTAGGGAGAGGGAGCGGGGGGAGAAGAGGGAGAGGGAGGCGGAGTGGGCGGCGGCGAAGGGGTGGGGAGGGGAGGGGGAGAAGGCGAGGGAAGGGATGGAGAAGGCGAGGTTGTCGATGGGGCGGGTCTTGAAGGAGGACCAGTACTTGGACTCCGGGGTCTTGGATGGGGTCCTTGGCGTGGGCTTGAGCTTCGGCTTCACGGGGAAGGTGGTCTTGGAGACCTTGATGATGATGGGTTCCTCCATTGATGGGATGGGATGGGGAAGCTCTTCTGGTTTCTTGGTGCTTTGGAGCGGAGGTTTTAGGGTTTGCAGTATGGTTTCTAGGGTTTTAGGTTGCCTCTCTTCTTTGCCAATTACTCTCTCTCTCTCTCACTCTCTGCAAGTCTGGTTTCTAGGGTTTTAGTTTGCCTCTTCCTTGCCACTCCCCCCCCTCTCTCTCTCTCTCTCTCTCTCTCTCTCTCTCTCTCTCTTTCTATGGTAAAACAAAAAATTCAAGATATTCTTTTTAAGTCTTTTATTTTCCTTGTGAGGCTCACAAAAACTAAAATATCTTTTGCCAAAATGACACAAATGATTTCTAAACCTTGATCAAATGTGTGATTGCGTCCCTGAATTTTTCATTTGTTCAATGTGGTCCCTAAATTTTTTGTGCATGTTCAATTTAATCCCTGAATTATCCTTTCATTTATCCAAGTTAATAGAATTTGTTGATTCGACTTTCAATTCTGTGCGTTCGAACGGTGGACAAAAAAAAAGTTATACGTGGAGTATCCACGTATGATATTCAACTCAAATTAGAATATAATAATGCTTTTAATTGTTTAATTTGTTCAATTTGAAAAAAAATGATTATCCATGTTATTTGATTAGTTTAATTCATTCACAGTGGGCTAAAGTTCAAGAGCCACATTGAATAAATTAAAAGTTTAGAGATGATTTTGGAGATCATTTGTGTAACTACCTATATTTTTTATAAAAGTAAGAGAAAAATCCACAATATATATTTATTATAAATATGGTGGACGGGCGGGGCTGGGCACGGGCTTGAACACCGTCACCCAAGCCTGGCCCTAAAATTGACTGGGTCCAAAAATTTTGGCCAAGCCGAGCTTGGTGGACGCATAGCCTACCAAACCCATGATTAAGTCTACTATATGTGGCATAATCACATCAATTTGCAAACAAACTCATTTAATTCAAAAAAATTTCACGGTAGATCTCCAACTAAGAAACCTATAGAATTGCAGAAGATAAGATTTTGAAAAGAATTAGAATCTAACAATCATAGAATGAGAAGCCATGCCTGAAGTTTTTACTTCGGGTTCACAATATCATCGAAGTAATCTTAAATAGGTTTAACAGCATAAAGGCAATTTAATAAATGAATTACCAAGTTTCAGAGGTTTCGAGTTTACTCAAAAGATATATCTAAAATAGGTCCAAAATCCTAACAAATTTAGAATAATTGGGAATAATTATTACATAACATAAGGTCTAACGAAATGAAGATGTTTCAGTAATTAATACATATGATGTTCGGGTACGAGGTTTCTCAATTATAAAATCCCAAATTCATCCTACACCACATATAGGGTTTTCAACAGTCGACCCCACACCCATCCCGCTACCCAAACCCGTTCATGTCCCATTAGAGTTTGGGTGAGTCAGTCATACCCGTCCCACTTCCGTCGCTAAACGCGGCAGCTTTGTCTTGATAAATCAATAGAAAAAAACATCATAATAATATTCTTCCCTCGAAAGTAAACATTTGCGACGTTTCACGTTGATTTATCATCTTCCCACTCTTGCTACATTAATATATATACTCGGGATGGCAACCCCGAAATAGAGTTTAGAAAATCCGGTTGAAATGAAGTTTACACTTGAACTTACTTTGCGGCTATTTTAGCCTATTTAGTACAATCCAGAGGTACAAAAGTTCTGCAAAAACTGAGTGACTAAGAGCGTTACTTTGACCTTATCACTCCTCTTTGTAAACAAATGTCTGAATATTACATTGCCCGTAACATTACACTTTCCCCTTTACTTGTTCAACCTTGTGGCATGGCAAATGGAGGCTGTGATCACTGACCATTAGCTAGCTCAAAGACAAATTTGTTTCGAAACTCAATCCTCACTAATGTCTGAGTTCTAATTTTCTCCACGCAACCCAATGAGTCGACGGATTTGACCCAATAGTTTCTTAGAAATGATCAGTTTAAGTTGATTCAGTTACTCTCCATGTACAATAAGCAACTGAATGTACATGAAGTTGCATCAACCTAAGGTAGCGCATGATACCGAATCTTCCCAACTAGATAGCAAGCTTATATGATTTAGTACCAAACAGATTTCTTCAGACTGAAGATACGATCCATCAGCAGCTATAAATTCATGAAACTTACCTTCCACCTCTATCAAGCTATGGCCAGGAGTCTTTCTCACACTCCTTTCCCTCATCATGCTTTTAACCATCCTCATATTGCTCCATTCTTTTCCCCTGGCAAAGATGTTAGCCATGAGACTGTATATACCGCTATCTTCAGGATTCAATTCCAATAGCTTATCTGCTACAGCCCTGCCCAACTCGACATTTCCATACGTTCTACAAGCGCTAAGAAGCGCACCCCAAGTAGCTTCATTGGGAACCATCGGCATTGTAGTTATCAATTCATATGCTTCTTTGAGTAGGCCATTACGACCATATAAATCGACCATGCAGGCATAATGCTCGATTTGGGGAGCTATCCCAAATTTCCTCTCCATGTCCTTGAAGTATCCTTGGCCCACACTTAATAAACCAGCATGACTACAAGCTGATAAGACACCCAAGAAGGTGACCTTATCTGGCCTAAATCCAGTGCTTTCTAATTGATGGAAGAGCACTAGGGCTTTCTTGGCATGCCCATGAGCAGCGAATCCAGTGATCATGGAATTCCAAGATACCAAGTCTTTTTCAGTCATTTTGTCAAATACTGCCGCAGATGCATCAATACACCCGCACTTTGCATACATGTCTATAAGAGCATTTCCCAGAATGACACTAAACCGGATCTTTTTAGAAAGGATGTACTCATTGTGAATCCAGCAGCCCACTTCCAAGCGACCCAATTGACCACAAGCAGAGAGAACACATACCAAAGTGTTCTCTACGGGAACTATTGCCGCCTCTCTCATATTATTAAAAATTTCCAATGCTTCCTTCGGTTGACCATTTTGGGAATAGCCTGCAATCATTGCAGACCAGGAGACCACATTTTTCTCAGGCATTTTGTCGAACAACATCCTCGCATTCTCTAACTCACCAAATTTTGCATAACCGTTGACCATACTTGTCATTGAGAAGACATCCCTGGTCTCCATGTTGTCAAAGACCTCCCTAGCACTAATCAAGCAATCGCATTTTATATACATATCGATTAGCGCATTTAGCAAATTCAAGCTACAAGCCACATTCTCCTTTTTTATCAGTTCATGAACTTTTCTCCCCACATTCAAGTCCTTCTTCTGGGAGCATCCGGAGAGTGCCGCAATCATAGTAACCTCATTAGGCTTAACATCACTTAACAACATCAAGTCAAACAGTTCCAGGGCCTCGTTGGAGCAACTATGCGTGGCATAACCATCGATCATCGAGGTCCAGGTAAAGACGTCCCTAACAGGACCTTCATCGAACACCCGGCGCGCAATGCCCAAACACCGAAAAATTGTGTAGAAATGAATCAACCCATTTCGAACCAGCAAGTCGCAATCAAAACCCATCTTCCAAATCCTGCAGTGAACGAACTTCCCAACAAAAACACCCTCGAATTTCTCACACGCCTTCAGGGCAAACACGAAGCTGCGGCCATCGACTTCCACGCGTCCGCGAATCATCCGGCAAAAGAAGATCAACCCTGAACTCGGCATTCTCGCTTTGGCGTACCCTCGGATCATGGTATTCCACATGTAAGCATTGGGAACCTCGATCTGGGCGAAGAGGCTGCGCGCATAGTTTACATCTCCAGCCTCCGATAAGGCGCAAAAGGCCAAGACCCTGCTGGCGGGGAACGTGTGGGCCATAAGACCAGTCCTGGTCATGTGAGCTTGGAGTTGCTTGAGCTGGCGCATGGAGGTGCAAGATTCCAGCAGCAGCAGGACCGGGTCCGTGATGACCGCGTTGATCGTGGAGTTCCATTTCGTTCCCTGGGCACGGCTCGAAGAGAGAAGTCGAGACGGAGAAGCGGGAGAGGGCTTGAACGGAGGGAAGAAAGGCGGACGCCAAACAGAGAAGCGCTTGCGGAGGCAGAGAAAGACGCAGCGCCTCATATATGAAAGTGAAGTCCTCGATGGACATCTGCAGAGTTTCAAAAATGGGCTGAAAGGAAGCGGACGACATAAATTGAATGCCCTTGCAGCGTTCGTACATAGTATTTGTACAATATGTAAATTTATGTGTTAAAGGAGGACCTAAAGATGGAACAGCAGACCGGGGTTTCTGTTTTCTATTTTTTTTGTATGATTGAGGGGCGTGTGCACTGTGCGCTGACCATTTGAACGCTCACGAAATATTCTGCTAAGCCCGGGAACCAATTTAGTCCGGGACCTTTTGCGCTTGCAAACTCTCTCGGCAACATTTCGCCAACAAACTCGCCTCAACACCTGTTACTATGCTGATGCACTTCTGGTTCTCCAACCAGGAGCTAACACAGATGGGCTTGTGTCAAGCCCAGCCTCACACGACGCAATCGATGAAAGTTCGAGTTCTCCTTTCCTGTGTCGACCAAAATTATTCGATACCAAACAACCCAACCAAGCCTAGTCTTAACAACGTTCGCGAGTACCCCCAGAAAATCCAACAGAACACCGAATTAGGCTCGTCTCCAAGTCTGTGCCTCCTACGACCCATTCGATGAAAGGTAGATTTTCGTTTTCGTTTCTTCGACTAAACAATGCATACCTTTCACGAGTTTTCCCAAAAGGAAAGAAGAAGAGAAAATCCAACTAACGGAAATATCTAATACATGTAAACGATGGGCCATATATCCACGATGTCATTGAGACACAGGTATATAGATAGTTCAATGAAATATGTAATAAACAGTACAAAGGGATTCTACATTTTCTTTCACGATCATTGTTCCATGGAATAATTTCCGCAAATCAATACTGGCAGCTTCAAGTACTTAGTCAAGGATACCAGACGTTGGTTTCTATGTTATCCCCTGTTCAAACAAGGTGAAGAAATATAAGGCTCTGTTCCCTCTAACATCTGTTTGCTCCAGCCTCTTTCTCCCTTCTTTGCCGCGATACAAGCATTTCCAAGCACCATAGCTCAACCATATTCTTCAAGTAATGTCAAGGGGCAAAGCCGGATGGGCCCCTGCATTCTCTAGTTCTCCAAGCCTAGCTGACTGAAGAAAATGATGATAATGCACTGGACTAATAAATAAAAGCAAGAAAGCAACTGATCAGGGACAAGGATTTGGAAAATTCGCATGAATTTGATTGATTTCTGCGACTATTTCAGGACTGAGCTCCACATTGCATGCATCAAGAACCTCCTGGAGCTGTTGACGCTTTGTTGCGCCAAATATAGCACTTGCTACCAGAGGATGTCTCAAAACAAAGGCTGCATGAAACAAAATGTTCTAAGATACCAAAAGAGGATCTTAATAAACTGAGAGCATGCAGAACTATAGCACTTCAAAAGACACTGGTTCGTTTCAACATGACGTCACAACTATTTGTAAAATACTAATAAATAGAAGCACAGTATTGTGAACTCCACTAATTCACTCCAGCTTGTGAAAACCTAAATATTAACTCCATGTCTGTATCATTAAGTTACTGAAGTGGGCACACAATTTTTCAGCATTAATATATCTAAAGCCTGAAAATTTTGCCCAATCAAGCAAGGTCTATAATTCCCTAGAATACTTTTTTTTCTTTTTTGATTAGTCAAGAGTGAGGAGGGACAACCAACGCAAACAACCCCCCCTCTAAGCATTACCATAAGGTTAACATACTTGTTATTGTATATTAAGTTAGAGCTATAGCTATTCCATACCACCTGTGCCCAAAAGGCCAAGGTTGGGCGACCCCATTAGTGCAACCAAGATGCTAGCAGTCCAAAAGTTTCTCCAGACAAATATCACAACTTTTAATAAACTAATTAAACATGCCTTATGGTTATCATGATTTTTTATTCGCTAATTATGGTTTCAAAATAGTGTTTGGTAATTTTTTTTCAGTAAGACAGCATATAATTTTGTTAATAGCAAAATTTAAAAGCAGAGGAACAACTTCAGCTATGTGCTCAACATTGGCAAGAAAGCCAACTCAAATGCCCCTAATTCCAGCAAAGAGCTTAATGCCTATTGTGAGATTTTGGTGGGACCACTGCCAACTATTCTAAAAGCTTAAGCTGTTAGATGAAGACGTGGTTTAATATTTAATTATTCCAACACTCCCCCTAACGCTTAGTCTGGTCTTTTTGCCTAGCACTAAGCATGGACATATTTAATTGGGAAGGCAAATGGGGCCTAAAAAGATTCGAACTCAATTGTTCCAAATCATAGATTTGGTGGGACCACTGCCAACTGTTCTAAAAGCTTAAGCAGTTAGATAAAGACGTGATTTAATATTTAATTATTCCAACACCTATCAAAAGAATTTTTTTTTTCAAACGTCAGCAACTAAAGACTGTACCAGATGAAGCCCTCTTTATTCTCACAAGATGAATCAGCATCTACAGAAAAAGAAATGCATACGGTTCCTGGTGTTTAACAAAAAAACATTCTCACAAAGCTTAATCAGCAGCTGAGGGAAGGTTTGGCAAATTATCTTAATAGATAGTTCAATATACTAAGTTCTTTTATTAAGACCTTTGTTCTGTTCCATTCCCACAATAAAATTTTTCACAACCAAACAAAGAAATTATTGTATGATCGCCCACAATTGTTTCTTACAAAAGAAGATAAAGAGGACGGAGTTTTTGTTGCATTCTATTTCCCTCCACATCATCGCACCAAATACAACACGTCTTAAGTGGATATGGTTTAGTATAATATAGATCACTAAAACTTGATAATTTGCAAAAGGTGATCCCTGGGATATTCAAATAGGAGAATTAACAAATCTAGACCAAACGATAGAACACTAAGTGCATATAAGGCATGCAGAGAACAGTTCAATACCAATTGCCAGTGCTACAGGACGTAGACCATACTTGTCTGCAATTTTAAGGTACCCCTGGAATTCCCAAGTAAAGAAAAGCAACATGTGAAAAGAAAAGCATTAGAAAACGCGGGAGAGAAAGAGAGAGAGAGACGGGTGGTAAGAAGTCCTCAACAGTTAAATCATCTTCTAACATGCATAGTGGGATGGATTCCAGAGTCACAACCATTACCATGCAAAAACTTGAGAAAAATTGCCAAGCAACTTGCTGTTAGTCGGTGAAGTTATATAAAAAACTCAAGCAAAAATTGTGTGTTCATCAGAAGTGAACAAAAGGTATTGAAACTTCTTTTTTTTCCTTCTATTCTTAAATTGTTTGAATGATCTATATTCAAAAATTTATCTCCAGAAAGAATATACCAACCATGACTGCTGCCGTCACGGTACTATTGGACAAGTTGTACCTTGATTCTCCTTCTGAATACCTCCCTGTAGAAGAAGGTAATGCCAATTTATGTGAGATGAAGCCCATGAATCACAAGGGAACACTTCTAAAATGGAAAGATAAATGTGAACTGCAGGGCTTCACCTTTAAAAAGATTCAACCGAGCATCCGGTGGTCCACCATCAGGTAAAAAGTATTTACCAGAAAGTATACCCATCGCTAGAGGGCTGTAGGCCAATAAGCTGATCCTGCAGAAATCAATTCAAGAAGGAAAAAAAAACAGACAGGTAAAGAATTACCAAGAAGGTCCAAAAGAACACAACATCTGTAAATAGAGAAAAGATTACTAGCACCCTGATATGTAAAGTAGTGAAAAGTCTGTGATGGGATTTAGTTGTGAACAAGTACCTCTCGTGATGGCAACATTCTGCCATCCCTGAATTGAAAGTTCGACAGAGCAAACTGTAGCAACTCTAAAACAAAGATCACAAGGCGAATTTGGAAAATTTAGCCTCAATATGCAGCAGTGAAAAGAAGAGGGAGATTGCCCAACTAGAAAGAGGTTATACTACCTGCACCGACACAATCTTAGGATAGGAAGGAAATCTCTCGGCAAAATGGAGGAATTTCATGACACCATAAGGTGTTTCATTACTGAGTCCAACATATCTAATCTAACAACCATATATGCAATCAGAGACATAACAATAATTTACAAGAATAGATTCACAAGACCAAGTCTCAAATACGTTATACTGACCTTACCAGAAGCAACGGCTTTACCAAGTGCCTCAAGTTGTTCCTCTACCGTAATTGCACTGTACTGATGGGTTGGATCATACTCAAACTCTCCAAACATCGGCACATATCTGTTGAAAATATACTCGAAATAAGAAAGAAAAAATCTCACAACATTGAGCAAGTATTTCAGACATTATCAGTCTTCCAATTGTATTTACAACTATACCCCCTTCCCAACAAAATTAAGAAACAGAGGGTTGTATTGACATACAAACCGATCAGGCCAATGTATTTGATAAAGATCGATGTAGTCGGTCCTCAATCTCAATAAACTGCAACATTGATGAATGAGCTCAGAAGATAATATATGCTAGATAATGCAAGTACAAACATCACAATACGAACAATTCTTCAATAATTAAGTGTCGGTGCACTTCATTTAACAAATTTTAGAAGCCCCCGATTCTTTCAGTTACAGGAAGGATGAATAGTGTTTCAGTTTAAACATGATACAACCCCATTATAGTGGTAGAACTCAAGTTTTCCTGAACATCATGTTGGACAAGCATCAGCCCATCCTCTTGTTAAGGTCAACAAAATCAAATTGGAGAAAAAATTAGGTTTTAAAGATTTAGTTCATTAAATGAAACTAGTGCCCGAACAGAAAAAAGCTTTCTGGCCAACCAAAAACAATTGGCAAAATGACAAAAAACTAGTCTTCTTAATGAGGGCAAACATGTAGGCAAACATGGTTTTATTTATTTCGAGATATGGGTGAGGTAAGGAACTCCATCACTTCGAGCCTGAAACTCTTGATAATCACGGAAATATGCAAAGACAAACCCCGATTCGATAGCATTTGTCACAGGATGAGCAGGCGAAACAGGACTTATGGAAGAATGAGGGAAGCCAAATGATCTGTTCCATCTAAATGGATCTGCCGCTCATTTAAAATGATTTTGATGGAAGATATATCATCCTGTATGATGGAATAACATGCAAACTTACCTATTGTCAATGGCTTTGGATATGTTCCAAGCATCCAAACACATTGGCCCGTCCCTAATCCAAGTCATTTGCCCAGATGGTCCACTCACCTTCATGAAAAATTTTAACAAAGACTTCATCTGTTAATTTAAAATTGGCCAAATAAAACAAGAAAGATACTCTTCGGAAAATATTCACCCCATGAGAAATGAAAGGAAAAAAATGGCTGCATCGATACAGCTTAGGACTGGATAAGCACCAACACCCATACCTCTTAGCCCTTTACTAACAAGTACCATCCAGAGAAACATATGATTTCTTTCTTAGTACAAGGACAACGAAGGCCACTTCCTCTCAATCCACTCTAAGCTCATTTTATGAACGTCAAGGACATTAAATCAATCCTGGGTTCTATACATTTCCCTCAGCCCACAGTACACACAACCAAACATGCTTTCTCTTCACCAAATGCAACGCTACTACGTCGAGCATTTACCAAAACAAAGCCAATAATATCATTAGGCAGGAACCAGGATCAGCTTATGCTCATCAAACGAGAAACAGCGTAAAAGGAACATCAGCAAACACCTTTGTGGCCAATACAACTCGATCGCGAGGGATTTTCCGGTCTCTAACCCAACGGCCGAGATACTCCTCGCTCCGGCCCTGAGTGTCAGCACGCTGAGGCACTGGATACCTGCGCCGCGCCATCCGAAATTCCAAGAACAAAATCAAGAAAGACCGACGGAGATTCAAATTTCAATCCGGACAAACATTCAATTTTTCAAGCGTTGCGAATCCGCCGTCGAAGCGTACATTTCGGCGGAGTCGAAGAAGTTGATCCCGGCGGCAAAGGCGTGGTCGAGAAGGCGGAACGACTCCGACATCGAGTTCTGCTCCCCGAAAGTCATGGTTCCTGAGGGACGAAGCAAGGCGAGGCGGGGTGTTATAGCGAGCGGGAAGAGATGGATGACGAGAGAGAGTAGGAGGGAAAAAGGAGGGTGAAAAAACCTAAGCAGAGCCTGGAGACGGAGAGATCGGGAGCGAGGTTGAAGAGAGGCACCGCCATTGACGTCCGCGTCTCGAGGGGGAGAGAACGGAGGAGGAGCAGTAGCGACTAGCGAGATAAGATGAAGAAAGAAGAAGAAGATGAATGGAGGGAAGAAGCTAAAAACGAGAACTCGATGGAGATGCAGGGGATCGAACCCTGTACCTCTCGCATGCAAAGCGAGCGCTCTACCATTTGAGCTACATCCCCTTTTGCTTTTAACTGAACATAATTACATATTTTACTATAAATTGTCCTAGTACACGGAATTGACTAACATGTGTAAATACAATCAATCTTGATCTTTTGATGTGACTTTTAATTTCGCCAAAATCAAAATATTACTTCAATTTCCATAAAATAATGAAAAAAATTATATGTGAATTTATGTAGCTAACCGTCAACATTTTAGCATTGTGCAAATTAAGAAAGTTTCGGATTAATAAAAAAAAAAAACAAATTAAAAGTGCGAGAGTCGCAAAATTTAAATTAAGCAAAAGACAAAAATCACTTTAAAGAGTCATATGGATTAGTTGAAATGAACTCGGGTTTGGACAAGGGAATGGTTTCCTCTTCCGGTGATTGCATACACGCCAGTGAAGACGAACAATCCGTACATGGTGGGGGAAATCTTACACGAACTGATACGGCTATTAAAGGCAGATCCCCGATAAAACGAATAGTAAGACGCATATTGTTTTAGCATGCTCAACGTGATATAATACTCCGCAACGTCACAATCCGACACAGGTTGGTACTTTGAATTTGGCACATGAAAACGAACTTAATCCAAATTCCCGTGAATGGCCAAATCAAAGTTTACTCCCTTAAACAATCATGTTCATTGAATAAGCTTGATTGTACTAAGCTGATGTTCATGCACCGCTAACGCATTTAGATACATGAACAAAACCTGACCCATGCATGTCTGGGCCTCGGACACTGGTCTGGTGGATGGACAGTTTGCGACCGCTTCAGGAGACAACTTCTTGGGTGCGTCCATATTCTAATTCCTGCCCGAACTTAGGACACAAAATTACGTCGATGCGCATCTTTCTTGGAATAGTTTATCCTTTGAATGATGACATCAGTGACGATGCTGAACTTTTACAAAATATTGTTCGACAGTTTGATCCCCCGAATTATGTTCTTCTCCGTTCACGTTGTCTAATACTGACGATATCATAAGAGATGCATCGTCCGCTCCTTTCTTTTTACCCACATGTCATTGTAAATCATCAACGTGTCTCGTGGAATGGAAACCAAACACTTGTAGCTTAGAATGACCATACCTATTAATTGAAGCATTTTCAATTCTGACATGTAACTTGACGAGCTTTTGACTCTTTCCTTATTAACTCATTCCCGTGTCCTCGATTTGAGAAGTCCTCTTTGTTTGACGTGTCTGGCCTAGGAGGGTCTTACCACTCATGTGTTCCACTAGAGTCACTCAAAACCTAATTATTGACTGCAGGATCTATTACTGATAATATCATAAGAGACGTGCCATCCGCTCCCTTTTCCTTACCTACATATCTTTGTAATTCATTAATGTTTCTCGTGGAAAAGAGAGCAATTACTTGCAAGTTTGAGTGACCATACCTGTTGCTGAAACATTTTCGGTTCTGGCAGGTAACTTGACGAGCCTTCAGCTCTTTCCCTATTGATTAGTTATTTGTTAAATCTTTTCCGTGTCCTCGGTTTGAGAAGTCGTCTTTGTTTGACGTGTGTGTATTACGAGGGCATTATCACTCAAATGTTCTATGGGAGTCAAGGGGAACCCAATTCCATTGGCTACAAAATCTATTAATGACGTTGTTATGAGAGATGTGCCATCCGCTTCTTTCTCCTTACCAAACATACCATTGTAATTTATCGATGTTTGTTGTGGAAAAGAGAGTACATACTTGCAATGTAGAATGACTATACCTATCTCCTAAGTATGTTCAATTTTGGCATGTAACTTGATGAGCCTTCGACTCTTTCCCTGTTGGCTCTTTCCTGTGTCCTCGGTTTGAGAAATCCTCTTTGTTTGACATGCGTGGCCTATGAAGGCCTTACCACTCAAATGTTCCATGGAATTCAAGGGAACCCAATTCTATCGACAGTAAAATATATTAATGACAATGTCATAAGAGAAGTGTCATCCGCTTGTTTCTCCTTTCGTACGTATCATTGTAATCCATCAATGTTTCTCATGGAAAAGAGAGCAAATAATTGCAGCCTAGAATGACTATACCTGTCTCTAAAATATTTTCAATTCCAACATGTAACTTGGCGAGCCTTCACTCTTTCCATGTTGACTCATTCCCGTGTCCTCGGTTCGAGAAGTTCTTATCAATGATAATATCATTAGAGATCCGTCGTCCATTCCCTTCTCCCAACATACATATCTTTGTAATCCATCAATGTTTCTCGTGGAAAAAAGAGTAAATCCTTGCAGCTTAGAATGATTATACCTTCAAACCCCCCCAAGACTATACATGTCGCTGAAGAATTATCGGTTTTGACATGTAACTTGACGAGCCTTCGACTCTTTCCCTGTTGACTCCTCCCTGTATCCTTAGTTTGAGAATTCCCCTTTGTTTGACTTGTCTGGCCTACGAGAGCCTTTCCACGAGAGTTACTGGGAACCCAATTCCATTAGCTGCAGATCCTATCAATAAAAATGTCACGAGAAATGCATCATCCGCACCCTTCTCCAAACCAAATTCTCTTGAATGCCGCATGTCCCATCTTCTTTCTTAGCATCAGAATCACACTGCACCCCACTGAAAAATCAGTCCACAAAACATAACATATTGACGTTCACATATCAACAACAAATGATTACTGAGAATAAGAAATCAAGTCGGGATTGTCCTTGCTATAAAGAGAAATAGAACTGTTTTCCCACTGCAAGGTTGTAATAGTTTTAGGAAGACGATCTTCCATACACAAACACTTCGCCCATGATTAACCGGAGGGAAAAACAATTTCGGAAGACCCTGGCATATCAGCAACACGTTTCATTTCTACCATGTTAGTACAACGTGGATCTCTTGCTTTGAGGCTAACTTAAAGTTATATGCGCAACTGTTTACTCCAAAGGTTTTGGCTGTTAGATAAAAAAATCGATTTAATATAGGTGCGTATAACGATTTGACAAGCCGAACCTCCCAGCAGTCTCATTTTTCTTTTCTTTCTTCATTGTGCGTTCCATCCACCCAGAAGGCTTGTTCAATGCGCCCAAGTTTAATACAAAAGAATAGCCCATTGCTGTCTCATGCACAAAGAAACAAACACCATGGAATCGCAAAGGGGTCTTCTTTTTCACTCTCACCATCTTCTTCAGTCATCATCTCAATGTCATCCGTCGTTTTCGCGTGGACAATGACATCGTGCTCATCCGACTCATCCCCATGAGGAGGCAATGAGCCATCGGCTTGTGGGGAGGGTAATATCAATGCATCGGAGCTCCCCATTTACTCTAATTATAATCTGTATAGATCGACACATCATCATGACTTTAAGTGAGAATCCCAAAGTAGAGGCTTGAAATCTCCAAATTAAGGAGTTGGATCCAATAACACATGCTCCAACCATCATCATCCATCACAATAGCTACTTCCTTCTATATTGACTTCCCATTGGCTTCTCTCTCTCTCTCTCTCTCTCTCTCTCTCTCTCTCTCTCTCTCTCTCTCTCTCTCTCTCTCTCTCTATATATATATATATATATATATATATATATTTGTGGGTTATATTGCAGTGGTTCAGAAGGTCATGGGCAAGAGAGAGACAAAGTTTCAAAACCTTTTCACTTTGAATTTTGATATATCATGAACATAAAAGCCATATGCGCAAAAGCTTAAGCTACGAGAGGAACGACTTTATAGCAAATGACGTCGAAAAAATAACCTACTCTTAGAAATAAACACTTTCGCTTCTTTTTTTCCTGACAATTATTATTCGTTAGATTTATGTTTAGAGAAATGAATTTGCTCTAGGGTTCGACATGGAGGTGCGGTTTAGAGTTCGATCTAAGATCGGTGGTTCGACCTCCAGAAGCAACAAAAAAGAATGAAAAGAAGAAAACGCGCCCTTATGTGGCACTTTGGGTACATTCCTTCAATACTGTAACATTCACGGTTCACGTTAGGTAAGAGAAAAATCAAATCAATGATCGAGAAAACGAAGCAAGTAGGATGTTTGAAAATTTTTCTTTTACCTTCCTTAGGAATTTGAAGGCATAACTATGATAGTCAAGAACTATCTAGTATCAGACTTGATCACGGACATAAAAGGGCTGTTCGAAAAAGTAGTTTCAATTGGGCCTATCAATCTCCAAGCCCGATTTATATAATTATCCATTATCATGAGCGTGCTTGGCGAACAAGTTTAACCCAACGTCGGAACGTTTCTTTAACTTTGTCCGTGCATTAGATTAGGTTTATATGCGAGTCTATTACATACACACGTCTCATGGGACCAATCAAGTCGACTCATATAACTAAATATTATCAGGGGTGTGCAACAAGTTAAACCCGCCGGCGGAACTTTTCTTTTTTTAACTATTTCATTGTTTTAGAAGATGAATCAGAAGAAGAGAATCAGCCCTTTGCTCCATTACTCTTCTCTTCTCAAGCGATCCACACCTGGCACTGATTAAGCAAATTCCAAGAAGGAAACCTTAGGCTATACTTTGAGGCCTAAAGTATTACTTTATATGTAAACCCTAGGGTGCATGCATCCAACAAATTCCAACATGATGCAATCGAGAGCTATATTCCTTCTCCATACACTCCCCCCCAACTCCTTTTTCTTTATTTTTAACTTTGCTAATCTACTTTATTCTGCTTTATAAATCTAATCATTCACGAGCGAGGTTCTTCTAGGCAACTAGTTCCCCGCTTAAAGTCTACTTAGTCCAGACTAAGGAAATTTTGTCGGGCTTGGTTGCCTAGGAATACATTTATTTATAATGCACCTTGGAAAATTTGTCGGTCTTGATTGCCTAGAGAAGTAATTATATATGATTCACCTACACTGGTCAACATTATGACACGGTCCATTCAAAGGTGT